TCAGAGCACAGTAAGGGTGTGGCTCTGGTAACACATCACCAAACTTCACCGTGGTGGTTTTGTGTCACTGGAAGGTTGCTTGGTGCATAGAATCATAGAATAGTTTGGGTTGGAAAGCATCTTTTAAAGGTCACCTTGCAAGGAGCAGGGACAGCTTCAGCTAGAACATTGCCTTGAACTTGATTGAAAGCAATTAGTCAAACCTAGTTGTTAGAGGCCTAATTTATTGTGTATTCCTAGTTTGCCTACATGTTTTACTTAGTGTCTTCTGTTATTTTAACAGGGTCGCCATGTTAAGACTGGGCAGCTGGCAGCAATCAAAGTGATGAATGTTACTGAGGTGAGTGCAAAACCAAAAATAATATTGTCACTGTTAAGCAGCAAGGAAAAATAAATAATGAGATCAAGAGAAGGTGGACAGCTCATGAAAGAAGATCCACTGGTGTAAATCATGGTTCCTGAGCACCAATTTGTGTCTTACAAAGTACGGAGTGGTGTTAACATAATCATATTTTTAAAGCGTGGCTGACCAATGGTGACAAAGCAATAAGGGAGTGCATTGACATATATTTTGATGTTCAATAATATCAAAGGCAAGAAGTCCCTTCCTGCTTGTTTCTAGTTGATTATCTGCTTTCAGAGATAGTAATTAAAAGATTTCCTGTATCTCTGCACTGCCTCTGCTGTTTCATCACATCCTATCCCCTCGTGAGCCAGCTGTTCCTCGGCGTAGTGCCCTGACAGCCAGCAAGCAGGAACATGTTAGAAATGCAAATGCAGTGCTTTTTTATTGTGATTTGACAGATGAGGGAAGGAGACAGTTTAATTTGCACTGTCCCTACTCACATTTATAAATGGATGTCAGTGCTGAAACAAGGTGTTGAAAAAGTTGCTAAATACTGGGTTTTGTCTCTCCTTTTAAGAGCACAGCCAGTAGTGAAGCAGCTTGTCTCCTTGAGATCACATTAGTCTGAGCCCCAGGAATGTTGGGGAGGCTCTGTACTTCTTCCTCTTGAATTTCCTAGAAGTCTGGTTTGGTAGGATGCACTCAGACTCGCTGAAGACCAGCTCCCTGTTCTGTCACTCTGGCAGTGTGGATACAGAGAACAGAAACCCAGCTCCTCTTGCGATATGATGGAAGGGTTATCATCTGAAATTCAAAAAAAAACAAACCAAGGGCCAAATTGTCTGGGCCAGGGCTGCCAATGGTTCATCTACACATGGTGTTTGGACATGCACAAGCAAGCCTTGCCTGCATTTTCATGTGTCTTTTCATTGTCTTGAAAGGCAGCAGACCAAGGTGGTGTCTGTGTTGGTCCTGTCACATAGAGCAGGTCCAGGGCAGTTCTCTCTGTTGATGGTGTGAGAATCCAGCCCTGAGCAGCAAGTGGTCTGAACTTGGATGCTACTGTAATGTACAAAGCACATCTAAGGGCTGGTTTGACTGTGGCTGCTGCTCACGCAATAGCTGAATTGCCAGTTTTGTGCTGAGGAGGATGGGTTTTGTTTTTAAATGAGTGCTACATTAGATCAGTGGAATTTCTGCTTTTAGGTCTGTAGGTACATTTATCATCAGGTGCTTTGGCTTTAAAAAATGGCAGTCACCAAGCATGAGGCTGCTGGATTTTGGAAGGGAGAGCAGATACGGATTGGATGACAGTCAGATTCCTGAGATGAGAGCACCTCCCTGCCTTGACAGAGGAGCTGACAGAATGGATCCTGGCACAGGCTCATAAGTTATCCAGCTCTGCTTTCCTGTTTTGCTGGGTCAGTCAACAATGTGTAAGGACTGGTTAAAGGTGTAGCCTGTGGGTTGTCACGTTAACACCAGTGACCGTCCCTTCTGTGATGAAACAACTGAAGAAAAGACTGCAGGAAGGGAACCTTGGAAAGATTTCTTTCCCTATGCTGTACATAACATAATCTCCTTTGTATGCAAGCAACAAACTGTAGCATCCAGTAATGGCTACTTACTTGAAAACAAAATTTAAAGAGGACAATTTCAGGAATTTAAAAAAAAATTAAAATATTTAAAAAGATTTTAAAAAGATTTTAAATTTAAAATATTTTAAAAATTTAAAGAGGACAACTTCATCCCACTTCATGAATCACCTTAGTAGACTGCCAAGATTCTGAGAACAAAACAAAGCTGTTAAGGTTTGATTTGCTGCAGGTGACAGAACCAGCATCATGCTGGGGAGCCTGTCCCATTGTTTGAGGGGCAGTGATAGCAGGTCATGCTGTTTTCACATTAAGACCCTTCATGGGAAGGTGAGGAGCATGTTAGTGCAACTGCCCAAAAGGATTTTCCCTGGTGCTCTTCCCCCACTAAACCCTGAACAATTCCAGCTCAACTGTGCTCAAGTGTTCCTGCTTTCTGACCTTGGCACAGGGTGAGTGCAGGGATTTCTGCTCTTATTTCCACTTTCCTAATGCAGAGTTGGCTTCACTTCTGCTACTTCTGCCACCTTTGTTCTCCGAAAGATTCTGATTCGTTTGCCAAATCTACAGGGTTTCTTTTTCCACTAAGAAGTCATTTAATCAGAAATTGCCTGACCAGCTCCAGCTGTGATTGTTCAGATCTGGGACACTCCGAGAGCTCAGCAAATCTGCCCTTTGCTGTCATGAGCTGCAGCCCCAGGCTGGTTTCTTAAGAGCGGCAGCAGGATGCTGTGGTCATTGTGGGATCCTCTGGACATCTGTCAGGAAGTGCTGCTGTATTGAGTTGCACAGGGGGGTGGGGGGAGCCCTTTGAAATGGTTAAAGGGGAGCTGATGGCAACGTGCACTCATGTGCCTCTCCATGCAGGCTCTGCTTCCTGTTTTTTGACAGAGCCAAACAAGCAGAGTGCTTGCAGAGAGACTGGATTCTTGCTGCTTGTCTCTTCTGCTATCGGTGCAGGTGATCAAAGAGCTCTTCTCCAGCACATCATTCTCCATCTGTCTTTGCTTTCATTCTTTCTAGAGAGCAAAATAACATTTAAATGTGAAACTTGTTTTTAGACCTGCCCCAGTACTAAGGGGTCTCTTGGTGCAGAATTTATCAGCTGATGATCTGGTTTCCATTTGCGGTCAGAGGAATGTGTTTTCTAGTTCTAATGCCATTGTACATAGGCACACATCTTCAAAAACAGCCTTTGATCATGAACCTGTCATCTCTGTGCACGCAGCCATCTGTGCCCAGGAACGCACTGGTTTGTGAAAGCAAACAGCTTTTTGCACCTGCACATCTGCAAGCCTGTTTCCTTTCCTGGAGCAGCTTTATTCATGAGCAGGTTTGTAGACCCCTGAGACATGGGGCTGATGGTAATGCTGGCAAGAGGGGTGGTGTAAAGTGGAAAATGTGAATGTGGGCATGCACTGAGAAGCTGAGGGTGCTTTTGTCCCCAGTCATCGTGCTTGAAGGATGTACACATCACTGAGGCTTAGCAAGCCTGGGTTCAGTTCCTGGGCGGGCCTCATGACACGGCCCATGGGACACAATCACATTTACCCTTCTGCCTTGGTTTTTCCATGGCATTGAATATTTCTTCCAAAACTCACCGGGGCACTGGGAGGGCAGAGTGCATTTGTCTGTGAATGCCGAGCTGCTGTCCTGTGCAGCCCTTAGAGACTGACCAGCACCTGAAGGTCAGCTGTTTGCTCCAGGGGGCGTCTTCCCAAGGCAGTCAGCTGTACTGGGCATTGCTGCTTGGGCCAGGATGGGCAAGGCGAAAACAGGTGCAGGAGGGATAAAGTTCTGGCCTTCAGGGTAAATAAAGACACAAGAGAAAGCAGGAATTGCATCTTGCTGATTCTAGGAAAGGAGCATTACCCATGTGCAGCTCATCTTGCTCTTGCCAGAGGGTGTGGAAGAGCCTGTGGGCTATCCTGGCTGTGTTCATGTGTAGGTGTAAAAAGCTGACAGTGAGAGACTTCTCCAGGGTCAGGCTGCTCTTGGTGTAAGCAGTTTATTATTTAGTAGAAGGTGGAAGAGATCTGTTTACACTGCCAGCCACAGCATAAACATGCTCAGAGAGGGAGAGAGAGAGTGGAAAGAGGGGTCTGAGAGCATGAGAGCAGTAGGCAATTAAGGGGGTAGAGAGAGAGAGAGGGGGGCAAGAGGGGGTAAGAGAGGGTAAGAGCCTAAGAGGTAAAGGGCAGTAAAGAGAGCAGGAGTATGAGAGGCTGAGTAAGAGCGTAAGAGAGGAAGTTAAGTGAGTGAAGTTCTTGTTACAATACATTATATCTTTTTCTATAGTGAATATTCTAATTCCCAGTACCCAACCAGTATATGACACACATTCTATAGAAATTACATATAGCCTGTAATAACTACTACATTACCATACAGTGTTGCATTTTAAACTGTAAAAGCTACTTTTCAAATTCTTCTCATGCTTCTTCGACCTTTGGATTCACTGTCAGCAGAAGGGTATTGTTTAATCAACAGGGATTCTCCTTCAGCTGGCTAGGCTATTGTTCTTTGGTTATATAGTAACTAACACTCAGTATCCTATAGCTCAAAGCTAGTTTTCATTTCTGTTTCGATTCTAGGCTTCATATTTTCAGAATCTTTTGCTAAACAATCATATTCATAAGGTTTCCCTGTTTCATCTTCCCCAACATTCATGGACATGCTTGGTTTTGTTTTAAAAACATGGAGGTCAGATTGCAGAGGTTTACAAAGTACTTGGATAAGAGCTTTGCCAGCATGGTTCCAACATCCAGAAAATTAATTGGGTAAAGGATGAAGAGCTGAAAAAGAGGCAGCAGCAATGAGGAAGTGGTTGGGATCTGCCAGCTCCCAGAAGGAAACTTTGTGAAAGCCACAGGCTGGTGCTGAGGGCACCGCAGGGAGCTGGGCTCCACCAGAGCAAATTTCATGTAGGTAGGCAGAGTTAAAAAAACTGAACCCTTCACATCTGTAAATATTATAAGTAATTTGGAGAAGGCCTTTACCAAAGATGACTTGCCCCTCCAGACGTTTGCAGGAGTGGGCAGAGTGCAGGAGGGACAGCAGAGGAAGGAAGGAGTCCTCTCTGTTCCTCTTTCTGCCCATCTTCCCTAAGGATTCAGAAGCTTGTGTAGGTGACAGAGCCCTTGTGGTCAGGTCCAGGATGACAGTTCCCATGTCCTTATTCTCTGCTCCTCCTTGCCTGCTTGTGCCCACCCTTTCATTTGCACTGTCGAGTTCCAAAGGGAGTAGAGCCTTGTATCCCCTCAGCACAAGCTCTCACCTCCCTTTGCTCCTCATGCTCTGTCTGTGTGCAGAGTCCTGCCCCTGGAGGATTTCCTGTTTGCTGTCTGGAGTCAGCTCCCATTTCTCCTGGACACTCCACGTGCTGCACTGGGCTCCTCTTCAGCCTAATTCAGTCATACAACATCCAGGGCTGTATCAAGCCAAGGATTAAGGGTCCTCCCTTCTCCCTAAGTGAAAACAAAATACAAATTAACTATTTAGTATAATGTATGCAGCTTGAGAGCCTGTGTTCAGCAAAGATTATTATGAAACCTGAAATAGTTTCATTTAGCTTCAACCAGAGTTGTTTTATGTCTCTGAAGGCTTAATACAGTTAGGCTTTGGTCTGGTAATGTGTCTCCTGGGTGTTGATGTTACTGGAGAAGACTTACTGGTCCCTTCTGTTGGGAGTGATTTTTATGTGGTCAAGTTTAATAAGACACATCATATGCATATTCTTGAGGGAATTTGGCTTTAGCCTGTTAGGCTTTAATGTGTTGCTCCAGGTAGAAAGGTCAATGTGTCTGGCTTTGTAAGGAGTCCATTATGGTTGTTAAAGGAATGCTTCAATGGCAAAACTACTGGAAAATAGAGGAAAAGCACAGAAAAATGTCTTTTGGGGCTGAATTGTTCTTGCTGCCTCTTTTTTTTTTTCCCCCCTTTGTATAATAAGTGATGACTGGGATGTTTTGCAACAAAGTAAATTAACTTTCAAGTTTTTCCTACTCCTTTTAACTGGAACAAGGATACCCTGTAGCAGCACTCCTTTCCTGATAAGGTGAAAACCTAGGTGTGTTTCGCTGGGTGTGGTGCCCCATAGCAAACAGGCTCTGAGGGGGCCTTTCCAAATCAGGCAGTTCTCTGAAAAAGGGCTTTTCCTTCCTACATAATTATTAAAACTTGTGTTTCCATTAGTTGTCTTATTGTGCACAATGTTGTATGGGCAGAAGAGAATGTCTGCCCGGGCGAGACTGGAACAAAGCCAAGGGAAAACAGGCAGCTAGTGCCTGGAAGCTGATGTCTAGGGGTGTGCTAGCCCCCAACATGCCAGGGGCAGCTTGGTGTTAGGAGGGGGGAAAGCCCATGGTCAGGATAGGGCAGCCTCACAGCAGTAAGGGAGGAACAGATCCTGACCCTGGCTTACGCTGGAGTTTGATTTGTGGCAAGTCACCTCCTTCTTGGCTTTGGTTTCCTCCCAGCAGGACCCTCCACAGGACTGGGAAGACAAATTGTCTGATGTGTGCACTCAGTGCTTTTCCAAGTATTTAAATGATGGTGTGTTAGGAATAATTTTCTTTTTGTTTGAATCTGGTTAGTTTCTCTGAGACTAAACTAATGCTTGCAGAAACCATAAATGGGGGGGTAACAGGTCCTGTCTAAGCTCCCTGAGGAGACAATATGCAATTTGTATGCCCGAGTAGGGACGTTTTTGATTCTTTAGGTCAAGCCATAGCAATTCATTGGTTTAGACCCATGGATCAGGGTGATTCAGCTGTCAATATAAGAGCCATCTATCAGCTGCAGTCTCATAATCCCAGGGTGGCTCTGGTCCCAACCTCCTGCTCAAAGCAGGGTCAGCCATGGATCAGAGCTGCTTGCTCAGGGTGGTTCCAGCTGGCTGTTGAGGCCTCCAAAGACAGAGACTGCTTTGCAGCCTTGGGGCTCTCCAGTCTCTGGTCACCTAAGGAGCCTCCTTCTCTCTTTTGTTACAGAATGAAGAGGAGGAAATCAAGCTGGAGATAAATATGTTAAAAAAGTACTCCCATCACCGGAATATTGCTACATATTATGGGGCTTTTGTAAAGAAAAGTCCTGCAGGCCAGGATGATCAGCTCTGGGTAAGTTTTTAGTGTCATTTCTGCTCATCAGATTTACAGCTCCTTCTTTAGAGCTCCAGCGCACTTGGCTTGGACTCTGTCTCAGTGAAGCTCTGGAGTCATTGTTCTGAAGAATAACATATAAAAGAGAAAAATTACTCCTCCCTAGACATCTTCCATGCTTATGATTTCCTTTGAGGATGGGCATAAAATACGTTATGATTCTTGTGACTTGTGCTGTCATTCTGATTTGTTGCTTGAACCCTTTTTTTTCCCAATTAAATTATTCTCTATTTTTTATTTTCTGAAGTGAAAGAGTTTGTCCTTTTCTCCTTCTCTCATTCTTGTTGCTTTTTCTTTTTTTTCACATTGAAAATATAAAAAAAAAAAAAAGGAAGCAGAAGAAATGGCAATAAAGAAAGGAAGACTAATGAATCCTCCAATTTTTTGGCTGCAAGATTTTTGAGGCTCTGCAGCAAAATGAGAAATTTCAAATTTTTGAAAAATTCCCATGATTTTCAGTGCTGTTAGCTCTTGCTTTTCCAATTTTGTATATACTAAATAAATAAAAAAAAGAACTACTAAAAACCTGCAACAGGAGAGGAGCACTAGTGAGGTTTTTTATTTATTTAGCAGTTTGTGTGATTCAGGAAATGAGTTTTTAAGTCACTTGGCATCCGAGAAGGCCATGTGTAGTTTGCCATGCCTGGGTTGTGGTGGAGGTGGGTGTTTGCAGGTGTTCTCTCTGCTGGCCCCTGGCAGAGCTGTGGTAAAGGTGCCCTGTGTGTGTTTGTGTCCCTGCAGCTGGTGATGGAGTACTGCGGTGCGGGCTCTGTCACTGACTTGGTAAAGAAGACAAAAGGGAACTGTTTCAAGGAAGACTGGATTGCTTACATCTGCAGAGAGGTTCTCAGGGTGAGTCCTGCCAGCAGAGCTTCGCTGCTCATTTGCAACAAAAAGGCCTTTCCAAGCCTTTGGTTGCTAAAAATAGGTCACTAATGAGCATTATTGTTTAAAGGTTGTGATCCATGGGGCTCATGGGCTATGGTCCTCGAGTTCAGAAGAGCCCTGAGAGCCAGCATGATGGCTGCTTGACATCCCATATTGTTGTAGTTAATCCCATTTTCTGTATGAAGAACAGAAGATTCCTCTTTCCTATGGCAAATAGCCATCTTCTGAAATTCCAGACAGTGGGCACCTAGAAAAGGAAATAAATTTTCTGTTTTCGGTATGTCTGCCCTGCCCTCCACATCAGGAGATCTTTCTGCTCAGTGCTTCAGCTGTTCATGCTTGTGAGACCTTTCTGTCCATAATTCCTTTACCATAGTACCTTTACCTGTTCCTAATTCCTTTACTCAGGGGTCTCTTTTCCACACTATATGACAAAATGTTGACTAAACAGCATTCCAAAATCTTAATGGTTTCCCTGCTGGGATAGTATTCCCCAAGACAAATCTTGGGGCTATATTTCATTCTGTGCAGGCTTAGGACTGCTTTCTTTTTCTTCTTTTTTTTTTTTTTTCTTGGAAAGTACAGAGCATAAAACAATTCCCAAGTGTAATCTAGTGAACTAGCCTGGAAAAAAAATATGATGTTGGAGCCAGTAATTCTAAATTCAAAACCCATTACAGAGTTACTGATCTGTCTTCTCCATAATAGAGTTTTGCATCTTTTCAAAATAATGGTAAGATAAATGCGTATTCTGGGAGTTGGAATGTAGATGGCATGCTGAAGTAATGCTTGAATAGGGGTAAAACTTTCTTTTTGGGGCATAGGAGTTGAGAGATGTGCTTGGCAGAGAATATTGTCCTTCTTGCAGGGATTTGGCACTAGCCTGCAGATTATGATCGTTATATCTGGAAAGTGTGGGGAGTTCTGCAAAAGAAAAAAACCTTAATGGCACAGTCAGGTTGTTCCTCACTGGTGTGGCTGTTATATCTCTGTTAAAGCAATTGATGTTAAAACATTTGGTTTATGCTCATGCAATTGAAAACTGTAACAGCATGTTGGTAAAAGTGAGGGATTGGATTAATCATGCTTGTTTCAAGACAAAATGGCCCGGTTGCACATGGATTAACAATGTTTCCTTCTGGAAAATTTACAGTCTGGGCGGAAGCTCTGTTTGAAGCCATTAATGTTAGTGGGGCTAAATGTTGTGAGTGAAGCATCCCTGGATTGCTATAATGGATTATTTCAGTGTGTTCCTTTATGTCTATGCTAGTTCAACCATGGGCAATTTTGAAATGCAGGAGGAGACAGCAAATATTAGCTGATTGAAAACAATATTTGCTGCAATCAAAAAGAGGTCTGACATGGTATTTTTAACTTTCTCTAGTCCATTTACCACTGAATTTCTCGTTTTGTTGAATGAAAACTTCAGGTCACTACAGCCAGCCATCTGCTGTCTCTGGTCCTCGTACAGAGAATTCTGCTTTGCTCTTTTTCTCTTTTGTTTGCTCTTAGCATAGAGTGTAAGGAGCATCCCTTGATACTGAGACAGAAGTTAAAATACCTTGTTCTCTTCACACTTGACTCAAGAGATGCTCCACCACTGTCAGGCCTGTGGTGAAGAAGACAATCAAACTTAGGATTGTTGTCCTCTCTCCTCCCTGGAAATGTTGCTAGTAGCATCTAAAGGACTTTCCTTATGAATAATGACTGAAAAGAGTGAAAGTGTAAAAAGGCAACAGTGCTGTGCTAGTGTTAGGAAGAGGGAATAAAGCAAATCTGATTTTCTTTTAGGGATTGGCACATCTTCATGCTCATCATGTCATCCATCGAGATATTAAAGGACAGAATGTTCTTCTTACAGAAAATGCAGAAGTAAAATTGGGTAAGTTTCCTTAAATGTGTGCTAGAAACCTGTTAGTTAATACTAAGGTTTCCATCTTGACTCAGAAAGAACTTTCAGTAACCTGAGTGCAGCATGTGTGCCAAGTATCATTGATGCTTGTGCTTACAAGGTGTCTGTAATGTAGAAGTTGAAAATGTAAAGTGTTCTGCAAGGATGTCCCTCACAGCCTGAGGGCAATACACACAGTCACACACAGAACCAGCCCGGTAAGTCACAGCACCATCAGGCCTTCACAGAGAATCCTGGGATGCAAAAGACTTCCAAAGTAAAAAAGTTGGGGGAACAAATTTTGCTAATCCATTTTTCTAAAGGAAGTGGTCTTAGAGATTTGCATAAATCTGGCAGTGGGTGGAATTACTCATGTGTAAGGGCTACCACTGAAAAACAGTCATCTCTCAAAAAGGTTGGAGGGTTTACTCATTTCCTTTTATTACTGTGACATGTCAGTGTTGACAGCCTCTGACTTCCTAAAACTAAACTCAAGTATGTATCTCTCTTGAGGAAGGCATGTCTTTCATGTTTTGGAAAGACATCACAGGGAAGTGTTTTAAAGGAGAAATCTCAAGGGGAGCAATTCTTCTTTGTGATGATCTTTACAGTCCCTCTCTTTAACTGAAAAAATTCACTGGAGAGTTGGAAAACAACAAATAATAAACATGGCTTGTGGATGTGGGATAGGATATTTGGTTGGAGCAAGTAAAATAAGTACTTTAAATCTCATTATGGTTTAACCTTGTGGCAGAAACCCGGCTTCATTGAAGTCAAAGGGAGTTTTGCTGTCAAATTAAATGAAGGCAGGATTTTGCTTGTAGTCTCTAATTCATATGTACTAATTGTCAACTGTTCCCTCTCAAAACAAGTAAGATAGAGGTGTTGTGTGTTTTATAGTCCTGTATAGTTATTACTTCCAGCATTCTTCACATGGTTGACAAAACAGTTAAACCTTTCTAACTCTGGGTAAAGATTAAACAGATTTACTAAGTATAATGATTTTTAAAAAGAAGAAAAAAAGTTATTTCCAGAGAGATTTAGCTCATGTGTCTTAAGGCAAAGAAGCTAGAAAGCCAAGAGGTTCTCAATTCAATTCTATTCCACCTCAGTGTGAGAGTGTGCACTTCCATCAGGAGCACAGAGCACAGGATGTTCCCAAAGGTCAGATCCACCTTCTTGGAAAAGGTTTGCTAAGCAGGCACATGAAATTATAGCACTACAAATTATTTTGGTTTGCAGATAATCTGCAATGAGGCAACATCAATAAGAAAATCTGCTCCTTGATGGAAACCATGGGCCTGTCTCCTTTCAGTACTCTTTCCCCCTTCCTTTGTGAATACCAATCCAGTGCTATCCCACTGGATCCAATTAGTGTATCTTGGGGTTTTGTTCAAAGAGAAATGCAGTCACATAATTATTGGTTGTATGGACCCTTTTCATATTTGAACAAAACCATTTTGCTGTGCAGACCTTATGAGAGTATCACCCTTTTCAGCACAAAGGAAACCACAGGATTTGTTTATTATAATGATCTCAGATGAGAATAAAGTAGTAGATTCTCCAGTTTGTTCTAAGATAGTGTTTGAAGGTAGGGAAGGATTTATTCCAGACACCTCAAAATGAAGTCATGCAGTGGTTATTTCCAGCTTTCATAAGTGGCTATATTAGACACATCCAAATTTGCCTTGTGTGTAGATACTATTTTTACTTTCAGTCTAGTTGAAGACCTTGAGTCCTACTCAATTAAACATAAATTATTCCATAATGTCTTGTAGAGCAATTCCTCTTTCTGTAACCCACCGGTCAGATTTAGCATGCTGTTTATTTAATTCTTCTGTCAAAAAGAAGGGGGAAAAAAGAGACAGATAAATTTCAACTATTGGATAAGATGTGCTGGAGGAGCTCAGATTTCATATATATTGTAGACCAAAGGTTTGATGTTCTAAACAGTATGAAAGTGACCAAGCACACACTCTGCAATGTGGATACAACTCTTTGCTAATTTCTTTACCTCTCCTTGGCTTTTCAGTGGATTTTGGTGTAAGTGCTCAGCTGGACAGGACTATTGGGAGAAGAAACACATTTATTGGCACCCCGTATTGGATGGCACCCGAGGTCATTGCGTGTGAGGAGAACCCAGACTCTACATATGATTACAGAGTAAGTGTTAAACGCTCCACAAGGTAAGAAGACATGTGGGTTATTGCTGAAATCCTGCTCATTTGAAAAGTTCAAACTTCCTGCCTTTTAAACCACAATAATGCTAGAACTATACAAACAGAAGTATTTGTAATATGAGGGTGGAGGCTCTTTTTAAGAGTGAGGTTTCACTGTGAGTATTTTTTCTGAATTTTTAATACATGAAATACACTTTTGTGAACCTTTCTGAAATAAAAAAAAATACTAAGAAGGTTGCAGGTCTGGATAGAAAAGAAAAGAAGAGAGGAGTTCCAAAGGAATGCTTGAGCTAGTGCAATATTAATATGGCAAGTTACTGCACACTGTGGTAGAGCTGTTTTGCTCTACTCAGCTGTGAATCCTGAGTTAATTGGCAGTAATTACTACCCCTTTGCTCATTTATGAGCATGTGACTGCAAGTGGTTTCCTATCCCAGAATGATTTCTGGTTAGTGGCAGGGTGGCTCAGGTGAGAAGGCACAGAATTTCCTGTATTATTGCAGTTTGTGAGCATTGCCTCTTGTCCTCACCATGCAGTGTGTTTTCCAGGGATGGCTTTTTGAGCAGGTATCTTCTGGGTGACCCTCCAGTCACTCCTTTAGTTCAGGTGCTTCCTCTATTGCCACTTTACACCTCTCCTTCCATTTGTGGCTTCAGAAATATTTATGAGAAGAACCTGGTTTTGCTTCCATTTCCTAGTGATTCAGAGGCTGTGATTCTCTGAGACCTTCTGTGCTGCACTGGCCCAGCGAGGCTGTGTTGTGTGTGTGTCAGTCATCACTAAAGAATATTTATTTTTTTTCCATATCATAGCAATCTATTGAAACCTCAAGAAGTTAATCTTGTCTTCATTCCCTGTCCCCAGTTGATTTCCTTCTCTGAATGTGTACTTACCAGAAGATACAATCATGAAGAATGTGCACCCCTAATTCTTGAGCTTTCTTTGCCTTCAGTAATAATCCTGGTTTGTCTGCTTCCAAACAGATACTGCAAATGGTGTTTAAAAACTGATCAGCAGAGGGTTTTGGAAGCACTTGTGCAAACAGTGCTGTGACCCAGAAGGTTGCACAGGGCTGGTTTTTCCCACAGAGACTTTTACCTGATAGGATGGGCTAAGTAGCCAGAACAACCAAACAAGACAAAACAAGTACAAATATATCCACATAATTATGTTTATATACACACTGAGCTTTACAAACACTGCTGTCATCCTCCCTTACACCTGTCTGTCTCTCATGCTTTGGAACTCCAAACCAAAATTCCTTGTAGCCTGGATGTTTCTCTCACTGTCTTCAAAACCTGCAGTATTACCCCTTGAAGACTCTCAATTTCCAGTCATTTACTAAATAACAAGTCAGGATCGTGAATCTATGAAATCCCCACCAGTTTTGTTGCTGAATCCCTCCACAAACTGTGATGTGAACTGGCTTTCAGCTTGTATGAAGAGTTCAGAGCAGCTGTATTGAGAGGGTTCTGATGATAAAATTAGATTTAGAGTGCTGGGCTTGGTATGAACTGCTATTAATGTAATGGTTTATTCCTTCTAATATTTGAAGGTTTTCTGTCACTTTTTTTAAAAAAGATGAGTTTTAGAGGAGCTCTGCATGTTGGTTTGGCCACATGCCTCTCATTTGGCTACATTTAGACACAGAAAATACTGAAATAATGCACATGATTAATCAAGTGGAAACATGTGAAGTTTTTACAGCCACTGATCGTGGTTGCAATTTACCTTCCATGATCAAAACCTGGCCCTTGGCATCCAGATCAGCTGATAAAGAGAACTCCACTCTGTTAACTGAGATGAATATACATTGTGGCATAAATCTGACTGCATGATGTACTCTTCTCTCATGTGCCCAAAAACGTGTGACTAGAGACTTTGTACAGCAAAAGTCAGACCCCAAGGCCTGACTTTAATTCCTGTTCCATCAGTGTAGAACTCATCAATGACTGCTCTGAAATAAGCATTAAGACCAAGAATTATTTTTGGCCAGAAGGAGAAGGGTGAGACACTGCTGTGTCTTGCTGCCTCATGAAAAGAGATTTAAGACATATATTTAAACAGTGCCTGCTATATTCTGTCTGGCTCTTGTTTTCTCAATGCAGAAGGTCTGCATTTTGGGGCTAGATGCATAAATGATGGATCAGCTGTTCAGAGTTGCATGGGAAATGGGAAGATTCTGACTATTAGCATGTTTCCGAGAAGCTCAGTAGGGAGTGGGAGGGAGTGAATATTTGTCACTCCAAGTAAAACAACATGATCCAGGAGAGATCCAGGGAAACTTAAAAAAACCCCAACAAAACCAAGAAGAAAACAAATAAATGAAACAAACAAGCTTGAATGCTGCAAGCTGCAATGTGCATTGTTTCTTTTCCTGCAGAGTGACCTGTGGTCTCTGGGAATCACTGCTATTGAAATGGCTGAAGGAGCACCTCGTAAGTTATTTGGTATAAAGGTGGGGGTGTTCTGTGTTAAAATAACTCATGCTTGGCAAATGCACTGATGCACAGAATTCTGGTTCTGACTGTATCTTTAAAAACACTCTATGACTTTTTCTCATTTGGACTGTATTGCGTTCTCTTCCTTTTAGACTCTTTCAGTCAATGTTTTGATTCCTTGCCTTCATCTCCTGGGAAAACAAAACTTTTGTTCTTAAACTCTTGTTAGCATCAGTTTGTTGATTACTGCCTGTGGATACAACTAAGTAGAAGTGATTGATATGTTAGCAGAAAATATTGTCTGGAGTGGCTTTGGGTTTAGGTCACTAGAAAAAATGTTGACAGTGGAAGAAGGTAGGCCTAAAGGTTATATTTGTACTCTGAAACTGACTTTTTTCTCACAGATTGTGTGACGAATAGGGCATTTACTCACATGTAATGGTTTTGAGCTGTGACCACACTCTCAGCCTGTACAGCAGATTGCCACAGTTTTCCAGCCTGCTGCCCCCTCACTCCCCCAGAGAGCCTCTTGCAGGGCATGTAGAGATCTGTGAGTGCAAAGTCCTCATGCATTTTTGTTTGCGTGGAGGGCTGGTGCTTTGCCCCAGGTCCTGGAGCAGATGGGATATGTGGGGTGTTCAGTCACTGCTGAGAGCACGGGAGATGAAATCCATCATACTCTGGCCTGAGCCTGAGAGCACGTAGGCTGTTTCTAAATAACCCACTTGGCTGTTCTCCCATCAGACTTGGTTTTTAGCAGGAGCCAGCTGGAGTTCAGGAGCACTTTCAGACCCTGTGCTTTAGCCTGACTGAAGCTTAGTCCCGAGACATGAGTCCATGGGGAGTTTTCTTTGGGAGAGACCTTTTCATGCCAGCTCCTCATGTATTTGATGTTTTCTGTAGTTTTGACAGGGAAATGCTGTGGATTATATTCTGTTGCCTTGTGTTTTTTTTACTGTAGTACAACAGTGTCTGGGACCCAGAGCTAGAAACCAGACCTCTTCCCCTCATTTCCACTGTATCATGTACTATTGAGCATACCAAGGAAAAAGTCAAAGCCAGAACCAAATGCGAGAAACCTATGGCAGGTGGAGGCAGAGAGAAATTAATATAAGGTAGGGAAAGCTTTGCCAGAGCACAGTCTTCTCACTTCTGCTGGTTCTGTAATGCTTTAAGTCCATTTCTATTAAGAGCATCACTGCTGAACACCTAAATATTATAAGAAATCAGCCTCCATGTAGTTCCCATCAGTTGTCATTCAGTAGCTCTGTTTGGTGAAGGAAGACCTTTTACCCTCAACATTTCTCCCTGACAAATAGAACAGATTCAAAATTCAAACATACATACAAAGTGTCTGGGATAGATGAGATGTGATGGTATTTGCTTTCTGCTGAGTTCCTCATAACTTCAACTTTCCACAGCACTAGCCCTAAAGAGAAGTGCAGTGGGCTGGAGTGAAGGTAGCTTCTGAATACAAAGTGGAATCTGTGGCAGATTTCCTGATAATGTTGCTCCCATTCCCAGAGCACAGGATGGATGAAATGTGTGCTCAGTCATTCTGCTCTGTTCCACAGTGCTGGTTATGAGCTCTGTGCTTTGTATCAGCTTCTCTTCATCCTGATTTTCTCATATACCATGAACAATGTGAGAAACAGTTTGGTTAAAACTGAGCTTATCATTTATCTGAAACCAGAAGCCAGACATAATAACTAGATAAATATTTCAATCTCAGCTTTAACTTCTGTTTATGTGCAAGCACACTTTTGTGTATGGGAAAGGTGAGCTTTTTTATGTCCTTCCAAAGCTATGTATATAGAAAACATGAAGAAAGTTGTACTTGTTCTTGCCTTGCAGCCTTTCTTTTTAATCTCTTTTAGCTGGAAATCTCTATGTGCTCAGAGACTTAATTTCTTGGCTGTAGTGTGAATTTGGTTGGCTCCTGGCTGGGTTCTGGGGCAGATGCTGTAATGTTGGAAGTGGAGGAGTTTGGAAGTGGGAAGTGAGGTCACAGGGGGTACATGTATCCTTCCATAATTTGTGGTTTCCTTTGCAGCCCTGTGTGACATGCATCCCATGAGAGCACTCTTCCTCATCCCAAGGAACCCACCTCCAAAGTTGAAATCCAGAAAATGGTAAAGAGATGTGTAAAAAAACTTGTATTTTTTCTGCAGTGGGCTTAGGAGGGCTTTTAGCTCTCTTGTCCAGAGACAGTGATTTTGTTAAATCATCTAGTTATCTAGGAGGTGATTCCTAAGCTGTCTCTACAAGCCGGATTGAGTCAGAGGGCAGATATAGTTTACATTTGGGAAGCAACATCTTTCTTCTGAACTCCGCCTAAACTGTGGCAGTTGTTTCATTTTGGTGTCTGTGGCCAAAATTGCAGGATAAACAAGGAAACTTAGATATGTTTCTTGGGGTCAAGGCTTTATCAGAAGATTGCTTGGACATTGTGGGGCTAATAGAAGTCACCTGCCCTACAGAGAATTACTTTTTGTTTTAAATGAAGTGTGTAAAGAAAATCTTCACCTTATCAAAAGGTCAAGGGCATTTTTGAAAAGCTTGTGTTGGCCAGATTGTGGTTTTGTTGATCAGGATGTAAATTCAAGGTAACAACTCCTCTGAGAGGGTGGTGAGATGGAGTTCACCTTCAGCATTGTGCTGGTCACAGGAGTCTCACTGGAGGCAGGGCTCCAATTGTCTCTCAGTTCCAGCACAGAAGGAACCTTTGCAAAGTCAGTGCTTTCCACCAGTCAGGGTAGTGCTTGGACCACGAGTTGAAAAGGATTATTGGTCTTTCTCCACTGTTGTGTCTTTTTTAGGTCAAAGAAGTTCCTAAATTTTGTTGAAAGCTGCCTTGTAAAGCATTATTTGCATCGCCCATCCACGGAGACCCTGCTGAAGCATTCCTTCATCCGAGACATGCAGAATGAGCGGCAAGTGCGCATCATGCTGAAGGATCACCTGGACAGGACAAGGAAGAAAAAAGGAGAAAAGGGTAACATAGCAAAAACAAAATGAAGGACACTTCAGGTTTTGGCAGCAGAGCACAAGGCAGATGCAGCTGGAATACTAGAACCAGGAAAATTGAGAAAGCATTGTCCATGATAGTGGGGCCACTGAAGATTCCTTTGTCAAAGCCTGGGTCCGTGGTGGTGTTTTAGTTCTAAAGTCCTTGGAACCTTGAGTTACTGAGAGCAGCCCTGATGCTAGCAGGGAGCGAGGACTCCAAGTAAAGTCTGGGTCTCTGAGCAGTGCTCCACAAGTGTTTCCTGGTCTCTCAGTTCATACTTCTGTCCCAGATCTAATTGATTTACCTGTTGTATCTCCATATAATTTTGTCTTGTGAGTTCTTTGGGAGCAGAAGGGTTCTTTAAGTGTTTTGCAATCGAGTGCACAAAAGAGACCTAGAGAAGACCTCCAAGCTCCAGTAAAATACAGATGTTAATAATGAATCACTTCCTTCACAGTGTGTATGAAGAAAAAGAGAGTTCAGATTTGTTCCAAATGCCAGCCTTACCCTTTGGAGCAAAAGCTGGAAGGAGCAGTGCAGGAATGGGGGTGATACTTGTGAAAAATGCCTGTGCAGTTTTTTGCTTAGGGCTGTACAAAGGGGACAGAGATATGTGGCCTCTTGACCAACAACCCTGCCCTCTCTCTCCTTCTCCCCTTCAGTATGTTTTATACTGCCAGAAGCACTGTGAGAGCAAACTTAGAAAGCACTATGGAAGTTGGAAGGTGTCTTATAAATGCCCTGACTGGACAACAGGAGTATTAGCATCTAAAATGAAATTGCTGTTGCAAAGCAGATTTACTGACTCCAGTAGTAGTTGCAAATTCTGCCACCTCTTTCAGCTATGAGTCTCAAAGCACACTGAAATAGAAATATAGCGAGTTAGAATTTCTCACAAATGCCCTTGAGAGGGGTGGAGGAATGAAAAGATAATAGTCACTTCTTCATAAATAGTTATATTTTGACCTGAAAATGCTATTTTTAATCAAAACTCCCCTGAAAAGGAGAATAGTGTGGAATTACCAGACTACACACTTCAAAATAGTTACTTAAAAAAAATGAGGTCCCAATTTAGCATGTAATACAGCCAACAATTCAGGGTAGGACCAGTTTGAAATTATCCTATAAAAACTGCCTTTGTGTCAGTCTTGAAGAGAACTTTAAAACTATGGGTTAGCTTTTGAAATTTTGTGCTAAAACTAGTATTAGTTTTTCTTTTCTTTTTTGCTTACTTAATAATTCCCTTTGATACAAAAGGAAACCTGGATTTACTGGTGGCCTCAGCATAGCCATGACACAGGTACAGAGAGCAGAGCAGGGCAGTGCAAGCTTTTATATCCTATCTTCTTTTTGAAGAACCCCTCTGCTGGTGGTGCTGTGGGGGTTGGGTTTCTCTGTGGGTTTAGCCTAATTTGTTTCAGATTATGGAAGTAGGTTAGTTTTGCAAAACCAATACAGTCAGTCACGGGAAAAGGTGGGTGTGTGTAACGGGGCTGCCCTGAATCATTATCTGAACTAGATTTTGAATTATGTACATGGATATTTTACCTCCCTTCAGCCTCCCAGTACAACATGTGACTTTTAAATTCCAGTTCCTCTATAGCCTGTAGTTCAGGCTGAATGCTCAAAAATAAAGGTCAAGATCATGTCTTAAATAACAGCATCCTCCTCTGGTGTTTGTTTATTCTCCTTTTTAGAAGAAACAGACTATGATTACAGTGGAAGTGAGGAGGAAGATGATGAGCTGAATGAAGATGAAGGAGAACCAAGGTTAATTTTATTACTGAAATAGAAAATTTGACTGCCCAATCTGTTCTCACTGAAGGCAGCCTCTCCTCAGCCATAACAGCTTTCTTAACTTGCTCTAAATCCTTAATCTCCTGGTTGCCCTTTGGTAGCTTTAACTGTTTTGTTGCTGTCAAACACAACTGCTGGGTATAAAATGTCGGTAATAAGCTGCTGCTTTAGTTTCCTTGCAGTAGGGGGGAAGCTCTCAAATGAAGGACCCAATAATCAGCTTCAGGCTGGTTTGTAGCACACCAGGTGCTGCTGGAGACATATCGTGGTTTGCTAACACAGGGCAAGAAACATTCTCAAAGCACCTTGTATTCTCTCTTTAATGCTATGTTTTCTCACTTAGAAACCTGTTTGTTTCAGCTCCATAGTTAATCTCCCAGGGGAGTCAACTCTCCGCCGTGAATTTCTGAGGCTGCAGCAGGAGAACAAAACCCGTTCAGACCCTCATCGGCAGCAGCAGCAGCTGAAGGACCAGGAGAAGTACAAGAAACAGCTGCTGGCAGAGCGGCAGAAGCGCATCGAGCAGCAGAAGGAGCAGAGGAGGAGGCTGGAGGATGTAGGGGGCTGGCTTTGTTGTTATTCCATCACAAATTTTGTTATTTCATCACAAATGAAAAATGTCCCTGTAGGGAGTAGGCTTTGCAAGGCAAGAGGGCTCTGTTAAATCATCAGCTCAACCTGGATTGTAATCTTGCACCTTGGGGAAACTGTGTCACTTTTGAACACAATGGTTTTAGATGGGCTTTGTCCTTTTCCTGCTGGTAACCTGCCCTGAACTGTGTGAGCAGAAGAGGAAGGGCATTTGTTCGAGTAGGTTTGGTGGTGGTAGCCTGGCAGATGTGGTGAGAGATCCCCATTTCTTCCTCATATGCATTTCCCAGTTTGCAGTCTGTTGGTCTGGTCCAGAGTCTTGGCCCTGCTTTTGTTGAAGATATTAAAAGACAGCTGTTTGCCTCTTCAGCTGCCTGACTGACACACTGTTGTCTTTGAGGCAGAGCTAAATCATAAAATCACAGAACCATTAAGGTTGGAAAAGACCTCTAGGATCCAGTCCAATCATTAACCCAGCACTGATGTGTCCACCACTATATCTTGGTCCTAAGGACCACATCCACGTACGTTTTCTTAACACTTGCAGGAGTGGTGGTTCCATCACTTCCCTGGGCAGTCTGTTCCAATGCCTGACCAGCCTTTCAGTGAACAAATTGCTCCTAATATCCAATCTAAACCTCCCATGGCACAACTTGTTTGTTACGTGGGAGAAGAGGCTGTCCTGCACCTGGCTACAACCTCCTGTCAGGGAGTCGTGCAGAGCAGTAAGGTCCCCCCTGAGCCTTCTTTTCTCCAGGCTGAACACTCTCAGCTCCCTCAGCTGCTCCTCATCACACCTGTGCTCCACACTCCTCCACAGCTCTGTTGCTCTTCTCTGAACACACTCCAGGCCCTCAATGTCTTTGTTGCAGTGGCACAACACAAAAATCACCAACATGTCTCTTCTCTTGAATATCTGACAAAACTCAAGCCTTGTGTGAACACTTCAGAGCTGACATTTGTGAAGCACAGTGCTGCTCCAGCAAGATGGGAATGCTCTGGAAAAAGAAACTCTTCCTTCTTGAAATGTTGGGAAGACATTTGTCATTAGATTAATGGCCAGCTGTCAGGGCGATCTCACGTGCCTCATAAATGACAGATCTGCCCTGTCAAAAAGGATCTGCCCAAAAGGGCAGAGGTTTCACTTCAGGTTTGGCAGTCACGGTGGTGGCAGCTTGTCCTTGCCCACTTTTGCTCTATGGTGTGTCAGGTGTCCCCTCTTTAGTGACTGCAGAGCAGGAAATGGGCCTTCTGATTTATGAACACTGGCATCAGTAATTGGTGGGTACTAAAGTAAAGTAAAATAAGCAATGTTATCCCCTGGCTTTCTTCCAGCACCAGAAGAGAGAGCAGGAGCTACGAAGGCAGCAGGAGTGTGAGCAGAGGTGGCCAGAGGCAAAGGTCAGTCAGAGGAAAGAGGAAAGGGGTAAAGAAGACAAAAGGGCTGTGGAAGATGAATACTTCATAGTAGATGGACAGAGGAAATTAGAGAAGAAGCAGGTATGAAGAGGGTGTTTGCTGACAGCAGTTTGCAGCTCCCTGTTCTGTATCTGATGTCTTTCTCAGTTCCCTGAGGGTGTTCCTATCCTCTGAATCGTGGACCAAAGAGGGACTTCATTAATGCATTTACTGCCTCTTGTTCTCGTTCTTGTTGCCTTCCTTTGAGTAAACTTAGATGTTACTGAGTTACCCTCCTTATCTACAGCAGGGACACTGCCTCTCCCACTTTTGTCCCTGCTGTTTCTCTGGGCTGAAATGGTCTGTTTAAAATTCCTTTACCCTGAAAGCTACCAGCATCAGCTAAACCTAAACTTAAATCTCCAGTCCCCATTTTGCATTCATGTTGTAACCAGGACAATTTCTTGTTCACAAAAACAATGGATCAGAGGTTAATTTTGATGCTGAACTGTCATTATCAAGTCTGTCACCTTGGCCACAATGTTTTTTTAATGTTTCAGCTGCAAATTGATCTGTAATCAAACAGAAGCACGCAGTGTTTGGTTAAAGACCTCTGGTTTTAGTAAAAGTAAAAAGAACAAATACAATTTTCTGACCTGCTGTCTAAAAAGCCTAACAGTGTTTGGTGCCACTTTATTCTTCCTGTTGCTCGAGGTTCTGACTCTTCTGTCAGCTCTGCTGGAATTGTGGTCACTTTGTTTGAAAAGCCACTATTTCCAGCAACTTGTTTGTCCTCCAAGGCATCATTGTCTCTGAGGTTCATCACTCTCTGCTTTCAGAAGATGGAAGATGTGCAGCACAACAGGAAGATGCACCGAACTCTCCCCAAAGATCAGACACAGCTGCTGTCTCTCCAGCATGATCACAGGCAGAAGAAGAAGGAGCCTTCGAAGACTTCAAATGCAGGAGTGCATCCTCCATCAAGCAGCACAAGCAAAGAGGTATTGTCTTGGCCAGGGCAGCATTTTGGTGCTTTGTAGTTTATGATGCTGTAGGAATGCTGAATCAGAAAGCAGACTGATCTTTAAACCTACATCTGGAGCTTGACCTGTCTTCCTACACTCTTGCACTACATTCTTCAGTTTCCTTTAATATTCAGAGGATAAAGGAAAGGAAGAATTGTTCTGTGACTTCTGCTTGAGTTGAGAGAAGTGTTTGGTTGATGAGGGGAGAAACGAGGTTCTTCTGGTCAAATAGGTGTCATTCCCTTGTCTTTCAAAGAGGCATGAAATAAGGTAATACCACCTGAGGTTTAATAGAGGTCTTTGCCTGATGTTAGGGTTCACAGAATTGACCCAGGCACAGAATGGCATCCTACCTCTTGAGCACAGATCTCTGTGCCCCAGCAAGCAGGCTGTGATGCCTTTTATTGTCTTGTATGTCCCAGGATAAGGTTTGATGGATCAGGGATAGCCACATATCATCAGCCTGTACTGTAATCCGTTTTCCTCCTTTGCTAACTCTATTACAATAATAGAAATACTCTAACAGTATTTCTACCCAGCAACTCATTCTGGTCACTGTCACCATATCCTGAAAAGCTCTGAGTCCATTTCCATATCCTACCTCCTCATTCCTAGCATGATTTTTTATATAATCCCAACTGGTTAACCTAGTTCTACAGCTGGTGTGTGATTTGTTGTGTCACTAAAGTCTGGGTCAAAAATCTCAGCAGCTCACAGGTGCCTCCTCAGTAGAAGAGTGGATGTGATGTTCTCTGCAGTCATGCCAAAGTATCTTCCCAAAATGCCCAAACAGAGGCATGAGGGGAACTCATGCACATGTAAATAGGAGAAATGCAGTGCAGCTTCTTAACACCTTGCTGCTGCCTTCAGGCACGTGCCATCTTTGTCATTTTCTTGTGTGTGTGTGCTGCAACTATTCCCTGAGCTGAAATGTCCTGTATTGATAGTTAAATGTAACTGCTAGGATTGGTGAAATGATGAATTTCAGTAACAGAATAGAGTCTGCAAACAGCCAAGCAGCACCATGAAGTGAGGAAAACAAAAGATGCTAAGCTCCTTGTTAGAGGAGCAGTTTGTGAAAATGAGAGTAATTCTGTTTGAAGTACAGCCTAACTGTCAAAACCACAAACACCCTGGCTCTAAAGGCTTTATTGTACTGACTGATTAAACAAATCATTACTAAAATTTGAAATCGGTATTTGTTTGATGATGGAAGGCTGGGTCTTATTCCAGCTGAGGAGCAAATTGAGTGTGGACAGAGAAGTAAGCTGCTTTTTCTAAATACACAGCATCAAAGTCAGTAGAAAAGCTTTGCCTTTGTTAGGCATTTAATGGGTGAAAATGCAACTCAGATGATTAATTTATCTTCTACTTTATTGTAGTTAGAAGACAAACCAATAAAATATTGTCTTAGATACTCATCTCTGGTTTTGGCATGTGTTTTGTAAATGACTCCTTGAAAGCAAAATGAAATATGTTACAGAATTTAGTGTGCAGTCACTGTTAACTTTTAATTTAGTGGTGAAATATAGTATAATTAGTTGTGTTTTAGGTTCACAGCATGAGGCTTTTGTCATTATGGCTACAATAATATATTCTAGTTTTCAGGGTATTGTACAATACTATTTACTGAATCTCAGAACTTCTTGGAAGTCAGAGGTCCTTCCACTAAATTGGTGGTACAGGGTTGCATTTTTTGGTTGAGACTTTTTTGTCAGCAGTCATAACTATTTGCAATGATTTAAAAACGCTTTAAAGCTGTAACTGTTTTTAACAGGGATAAGTCAGTGCTTTTGCTCCTGTTGATACTTATCTTTTCCAGTTCATTAGCCAGAGAGATATTAGTTCCTCTGTTGAGAGGGACCTGCATAGGGACAGTGGTAGCCTACACAAGAGTGAGTTTGTTTGTACTTTGAAGGGGTCCCATTTCTAGCACCAGTCATTGGTACACAGAAGCTCTTGAGAATTATTGTTTCGTTGAGACATTGAAAACAAACAGAGAATCCTAGAGCCCTCCAAAGCCTCAAGTTTAATGTTTGGGGGTCCAGAACCCTCTCTGGGAAGTTCCTTGTCGTTGCTATTGTGCTTATCCTGTGCCCAGCAGGTCAGGACAATTTTCCCCTGCACACCTGTGAGCTCACTCAGATGTGAGCTCACTCTGTGCGGTATCTGGTCCCAGCAGCACCAGGGTGAAGGAGTTGGGAGTCAGACTCCAAGCTCAGGCTACACTAGCTCAGTGCCTGGATGGGGCTTGGCATTAGTTCTGGAAGCCCAAAGTGTCACCTGCATGAGTTTGTGTCTGGATCATAAAACCTTTCGTGCCAGCTCCCCGTGGGCACAGAGCTGGGAGGTGAATTACCGTATCTGGCTTTTACATTGCCTTCCTTGCTTATGGTAAAATTTGCCTTTCATTATTATGAGTTGCAGGTAGTGGAAATGTGGCCTCGAGAACATGTTCACTGGGGCTAGAATTTCATAGTGTTTAGCTGTGGTTGCTTGTCTTAGTAAGGGGTTAGGTTTTTTTTACATTTTGGTCTTCTTTTTTCCCACAGTGGGGATCTGTGAGACTAAGTGGAATCATTTTCCATGTCCTCAGCAGTTTCTAGGCTGTGCTAAGAATATGCTTACCTTTCTGATACAGGCACAAACATCCAGATATAGTGAGAGATAGCATTAAGAATTCCCACCCCAACACAGATAAAAGAGTATTTTTATGGCATTAATCTCTAGTTTACTGTGTAGAGTTGTTTCCAGGCTGCTGAATCAGAGGATATGCTAAAGATTTACACTAGAGAATGAGAATTAGTCATGTTGAAAAGAATTGAAAAGAGTAGTAGGGTCAAAACCACAGGATAAAGACTTTCGTAATGAGCAATGCCCTCAGGAAATTTGTTCCTTCTAGATCATGTTCCTCAGTCTTTCTCACAGTACAAGTAACATACCAAAAGACAGAGTGTTTAAAGTGTTTTAAGGTAGAAAGCAACATGCAGTAATGTCAATGCTGTGGAAGGGGGTAATTAATGCACAGCAAAACAGGCTGCATGTCGTCCAAGATAAGTAAGTATAGACACATGATTCCTCCCAGCTAAAATCCCAGCCTGCAGCCAAAGGAGTGGCCTAGAATACAGCAGATGGAAACTCAGGCCCTTCTCCTTGCTGCAGCTTGCAAACTTGATGGAAAAGGAAGGGTTGCAAATGGAAAGGAAAGAGTGGTTTGTGCTGTGCCAAGGCTGTCCTTGGTGGGAAGGTCTGTCAGAGGTTTGTGCTCTGTGCTGCTGTGGGACAGCATCCAGCCCACAAACCCAGGCTCTTTGTGCAATGTGCTGCTCTTTTGTCCTTCCCAGGCCGAGGACCAAAGAGGAGCAAAGAAGAGTGACAGCATCCAGCCCTCCCTGCAGTGGCCAGTGGCGCTGGGACACGAGGCCACCCCACAGCCCAGGATGGGATCCGGGAGCAGCTCCAGCCCCTGCACCCCTGCACCACAGAGAGCCCTGGTAGTGCAGGTACTGCTGCCCTGGCTGGAGACCAGGGACCAGGGGTGCTTCTAGGCAGGACAACCCATCAGAAACAGAATTCCCTTCTGGAGCAGGTGACTGAGGCCTGTGCAAACCGGCCCGAGGTTTTCTGGTGCCACCTCTGCTGCTGGGTTCTGTGTGGAATTATACTTAAGCACTGCAGATCAGGATTAGATAAGAGTTATTTTTTATGCTTGATACCTGATTGTTGATTCCATGAAACTCCTCTCAGATGTTTCACAGAAAGTCTGAATGACAGTGCTGTTGCAGTCCCTGGATGATGTATTATTTATATGGTGCCATAAATGTATATGGCACTTTACATCCAAACACAATTTTTTTATGAGTGAAACCATGTAAACAATCAAGGTTTTTATTGATCTTATGAAATAATCTGTAAGTATGTGGAGATACAATAAGGAGCAATGCAGAATGAGATTTTACCTGTGGATAGAGCCCTGAAAGTCTGAGTCTTTTAAAACTTCAGTATTAGATGTAGAAGTGGGACCCAAACAGTACCTGTGTAGTGAAGGCATTCTGATGAAGTTCTGCATTGGAATCCTTCTCTTAAAACATTTTAGCTCCTGATATTTTTACCAGTTCTGGAAGAGGTGATTCATGGTTCTCACAATGTGCCCAAAAATTGGGCTTCCTTTCAGCATCCTACTCACAGTGTGTATGAAGTAGCTTGGACTGCAGGGTTTTTTCTCCACTCTCTTGTGAAAAGGCTGTAAGCATATGTGAGCAAAAGAAAAACAAAACAGCAAGTAAAAATGGAATAAACTACTATAAGTGTGAGCACAAGTCTTTTAGCCTGAATATCTCCACTTATTCTGAAGGTGTGCAGTGGCCAGAATAATCTTACTGCTGGTACATTTTACATAGGTTTACATTTTACATAGTTTAGTGCTGTACATTTTACATAGTATTTCATTTTGCATTCATTCATCCCCTCAGAGAGGACATACAGTCATAGCACTAGTTTTAATCTTGGCAGCTCTCAGTTTCCACTGGACCTCTGGATGCATGGATAGATAGATGGATAGTTTTTGTAGGCATCTCTCAAATTGATTCTGTGGGATTTAGCTACTGCTACCCACAGGAGTCTGACATTCAGATCAGGCTTAGGCATTGTTTGTGTGCCGCTGTGGCATCTTGTGACCTCATTCTGCTCTGGGTCATGGAGTCAAAGGGGGAAGGTCAGGCTGCAGAGAAGGATGGGTTATTGGGTGCAGCTCAGCTGCTTTCATGATGCCTCATGAAAGGCGCTAAAGCAACAGTGTAGGTCTTTGTACTTTGAGCACACCTGCAATTATGGGTTATTTCTATGAGATCAGGTTGTATTATCCTAAATGTTTCTTATACTCATTGTTGATTTTGCTTGGCATGAGCTTCATATGAACATCCTCCATGAAAGGTCAGAGAGTCATAGCATGGTTTGGGTCAGAAGGGACCTCTAAGAGTCAGTCCAGCCTCTCCACCATGAGCAGGGACATTTTCAAATAGATCAGGTTGCTCAGAGCCCCATCCAGCCTGGTCTTGAATGTTTCCAGAGATGGGACATCTGCAGCCTCTCTGGGCAACCTTCTCCAGTGTTGCACCACCCTCATCATAAGAATTTCTTTCCTTACTTTCCTAAAATGCAGGGTTCTGACTTTACCTTTTGCCTGAGCCATATCCTTCAGAACTATGAACTCTACCAGTGTGTGATCACTGCAGCCCCAGCCGCCTCCAGCCTTGAGTTCACTGATTAGCTCCCCTGTGTTGGTGACCCTCAGGACCAGTATTGCATCCCCCCTGTCAGGGCTGCCTACCACCTGGCTGAAAGTCATCCTCTGTGCATTCCAGGACTCTCCTGGACTGCCTACAGCTCACTGTGCTGCTTTCCCAGCAGATACAGGAGTAGTTGAAATTCCCCAGCAGGATGTGGGGATGCAGCTCTCCCCTATCCTGCTTTGGTTTGTGCCCTGGAGTGAGTCTGAGAGCTTGGGAGGTGGATAATAGCTGGCTCTTAGTGTCTCTGAGTCAAAGCCTCCCTGCGCCTTTCCTCTTCAGGTTGCTTTGCTGTTTGGTGATGATGGAAAAATCACCAGAGACAAATGTGAGCAGAAAGGCCTCATTTGACCTGATAGCTTTTACCTGGAAAAATATTTATGTGTGTGTTCTCACATCTATTTTTTCCAGGGTCTGTTTGTTGTTTCAAGTCACGAGTATTTTAAGTGGGCTGAGTTGATGGCCTGGCTTGCAGCACCAAATCACTGGAGAGCTATGCAAGGTCTACAAGAAGGACATTTGTATCTTAGCCTTGGGCAGAGGCTGGCAGCTTCCCTGAGGCAAATATTTCAGCCCTGTAACAGCAGTGGGAGCATCCACAGTTTATTGCATTTGGGATTCTGCAGGAGTACAGTGGCTGTACAGAGGATAGTCTTGCCCTTGCTTAGGTGTCACTCCTGGGATGAGAGGCTGCTTCACCTGGGACAAGTGATCATTCCTCTGCACCCTATCAGTGCTTTCCTGTTTGTAGCACCTCTCCAAGCTGTGGATAGGGATGGTGGGGAATGAAGCAGTATTTACCAACTTCTTTAACATTTCTTGATGGAAGCTACACTACAAAAAATATATGCTGTTTAGAATGATGGTGTTACTTAAGGATAATAGCAGCAAGTGGTGCACAGCAGTTGCAGTGTGATTTCACTCCCTGCTGGGAGGTGCCCTGGTACCCCCTCACAAAGCAGAGCTCCAGCTGACAGTGCATGTAGACAGGGAGAAGCCAATCTGTGCTGCTGCCTGCTGTGTTCACATGGAGACCACATGAACTTCAATGGGTAATTTATAAATTCCCTGAAGGGTTATTTTTCCCTTTGCTAGTTGGGAGCAGCTGCTGATGCTAATGGCAGCATGTTTGGACATGCTGCCTGCATTAACTGGATGAGGTGTTTAGGCAATAGAAGTGATGGGTCAGGTAGTCACCTGGAGATTAAAAGACACAACAACACACTTGTGAAGTTCAGTATGTGGGTGCCTAGTTGATTTAAAATAAAAGTGAACTGTGGAGTTAAAATGCAAGCTGAATTAATCACAGAAACTGCACTGAAGAAATTTCAGCCAGGCTTGTCAGAGACAGATCATTTGCCAGCACTGCTCTGCTCAGACAAAAATTACTTCTTATTTTCAACAGTATTTTGTGAGATCTTGTGGCACATCCTGGATGCCCAAATCTCTCTCAGATTTATTTCACTGAGAAATTTAACACAGCTCCTGAGCATGATTTCTCAGTGCCTTACATCCTATCTGTCTGCTGAGAGAAATGTGTGATACTACCTGTTCGCGTGTACCAATTCCACCTGCTTTGTACCATGTTTATCTTTGCTGCAGTACAGTGGCAGATCCGGCTCTCTGCTTGTGGTGGTGTGGGATGAGCTGTTTTGGACTGCTTGCAGAATTTCACAGAGGCTTCTTAAACAAAGTCACTGAGTCTGATCTTCTGCCCAGCATCTCCTGCTGCCTGACTAGTGGAAAAATTTAGCTCACATCTGAAACGAGCTTCATTTTTAATTAATTCTTGTAGTTTTCCTATAGGATTTGCTAGGTATATCTTCTCTATTGTGTGTGGGGTGATGTGACTGAATCAGAACAAGAAGACTAACAATATTACAAGAGCTAGCTGTGTGTAAAGCCATGAACTGCCCTAGTATCCCAGAGTACATCTGCTCAGAAGTTTAAGAAATTCCTTTTCCTTATGCTGTTTCCTAACAACACTTGCACTTAATCTATCTCCTCTGTGTAGATTCAGTTCAAATTAGTAACTTGGGCATCCTCCAAAAAAGCAATGCAGCCTGTCTTTTTAAAACTTCTTGCATCTAAATGGTTTTAAACTAACTCTAGTAATGAGTCTTTTGAGCTATATCACCTTATGTTACCATTTTGTGGATTAAAGTGTTCTTTTCCTTAGTTACATGTCCCTTTATGGTTTGAAGACACACAGTAAGTAACACTTTCTCTACCAATGCTTTCTGTGCATGAGGAGAACTGCTATTCTTTAGATATTACTTACAAGAAAAACAATTTAAAGTTCAAATCTCAGTAGTTTAGAATTATTGTTGGGGGGGGTGTTAAATTTTTTCCCCTATACAAAGCTAAGGAGAATATCAAACACTAATTTTGGGGATCATCTGAGATGGTTTTGACTTGCTTGTGGAGGCAGGTGTCTGTTCTGGCTTTACACAGAACTGGTATACTGGGCAGAGTTTGGATTAACTCAGTCACTTATATCAGCAAAGCTTATCCATGCTTTTGAACACAAATAGTTTTCTGGTAATCAGCAGGACTCAAAGGCTGGAATTTAAAAAGAAATATATATGTCTTGTTGAAAAAGGGGCAAGAAAATAAAATCCTACTATATTCTGATAATAATACACCTGCTAGAAAACCTGTTTCTGTACCTACAGTGGATCACTTCAGGTGAACACTTTGTTACTCAAATAATTCTGGTTAACAAAAAACTATTATTAGAGACAATCATGTTGGACAAAAAGGTATTTTGGAAAGACATAGATTATGAGATGTTACAGCTGCTGAAAATGCTGTTTTCTGTAAAGAGAATCAACAGAACATACTGTTCCAAAAAGGCAGGAAAACCACCTGAATAACTAAGTGAACTTCTCAGGACTGTCTTTGGCAGTTGACTTTGCCATTCTGTTCTGGGAGGTTACAATGAAACATCTTTGACATCTTTATCTAGTTTTAGAATTTCTGCCTGTCAATATTTAATTCATGTTGAATGTTGTTCCCATGAAATTTAGTCTTGTACAGTTATATAGAGTTTGTAATCCTATTATCTTCTTGAAATCTGTGTGAAGTTGTAGTGACTGTGGTTTACTTTTTAGGATGGAGAAACTGGAGAATTTTATAGACTTATCTGATAAATCAATAAAATATTATTTGGGGAAAGTGTATGCAAGTACCTCTGGTCTAAGTTGCAGTAACTCGGTTGAGACACAGGAGTTTGAACTGTGACTCAGACAAAAATTGCAAACTTCATTCTTGGGCCTCCAAGTGTTGGAGATGCTGATGTTGCCATGTGTTTGAGGAAGAGGCACCTCCCAGAGAGCCCTGGCCTAGCACTGCGTGGGAGATCAGACGAGGTGGAGCACAGAGTGGCACAGCTTCAGGCATTTATTTCTCTAATACTTCTTCTATTTCCGTAATATCAAACTAGTTCTAGCATAGCAATCCCTGCAGACAGGCCCAGCTCAGGCAGTCTCTGTGTGTTCTGTCTTGGTGTTGTGTCCCAAGAGGATTTCTCATTTCAGGGAGGCAGTACTCTCAGCTGACGCATTTAACTCTGAGTTTCTTCCTCTTTGGAAGACACTGGTGTAGCAGATCATCAGTGTGGAGACTTCTTTTACAGAAAGAATCAGAGGACCAAATGTTGAATACTTTAGCTTGAGTTTTGCACTGCTTAGTTCTTGTTCCCTTAGAGTGACGACTTTATAAGGAAGTAACTTGACTCCTTTGCTGTGCTGTGATTGGGGTTTTTGCTATCCTAGTGCTCTAACTGGACACCTTTGGAGATGTTTTAAACACAGGTGCCTGCAATGGCATCACCTGGACTTAGCCACCCATGAGGGTGTCATCTGACCATGATTTCATTCTTTCTTACTGCATTCTCAAGTTTGGTCTTTCTTTTTTCCAAGTAATTGAAAACTTTGGTTCAGAGGAGGACCAGGGTCCTGACATAATCACTGGAGCATTTAAAAGTGTTTGCAGCTGGCAGTTTGCCTCCACTGACTGTGGGTTGGTGGTGGCCATGCAAAAAATAGCCTGGATGTCAACATCTAAGTTAGGGGAGGTGGGTTCCCACAGTGATTAGACTATGGAAATTCTGCAGTGGAAGCATTGTCTAGGTTTCAATGAAATGTAGTGACTCCACAGCATTTTTTGCATCATCCAAGTAGGTAGCTCCCAGTGCATTGCCAGTGACCTATTTGCTTCTCCACAGATTTAAGAAAGGTGTCTGTATATACACGGAAAGAATAGATTTGTTTACTATTTCTTTTTATTATCCCTTCACCTTGGGATATTTGTGCCTAACATGCTGGAAATTAATAACTCACTACACAGTGAATAAGGTGAATAGGGCTCTATCCAAACACAATAGTCCTGATAGGCTTAGTAAATATTTTATCTCCCAAGCAGAACCATTGATCTCTGTTGAGACTGACCTGTTAGGCAGGCAGGTGTCCTGGTTTAGGGCAAAATTTGGGAGAAAACCTCCAGTGGGGCTCCCCCTGGGAAGCAAACCCACGTGGCCCTTTTTTTCCCACCCCCCAACCGGTTCGGGAAGAGATTTCTCTGAGAGAAGTGGAAAAAACCTGTTTATTTCACAGGCACAGCACTACCCAGCACAAAAATGAATGATACCACATTACAAAACCTCTCGCCCTTCAGAAGAGATGACAAACTTCAGAGGATCTCTTTCCTGTGGGTGTTCGCTCTGTTATCAGTCCCTCTGGCGCTGGAAAATGCCGCTGCCCAGGCTGGGCTCCCGGTAGTCCACGGGTGCAAGCTCCCGGTGCTCCCCCGAGTCCCCAGTCCAGAGCAGGTTCGATTCGTTTCAAAAAAGGGAAAGAAAACAGTCCAGGAAGACCTCTCTGCTCCGGCTAGTTGGAAAGCCAAGGCGATCTGTGTCTTGTTGTCTGTCTGTGCTGTAGTCAAAACTCCCGATGCGGGGGGAGCAAGTACAGTCTCTGATAACAGACTCGGTGCTTCTTTTCCACTCACTTTTACTCTGAGATGGAATTTTAAGAATACAAAACCTGTGTCTGGGTTAGGTGGACGAATGGGGATACAATTTAACATCATAATCAACCCAGGACAGCAGGGAAGTGCAATTCAATATGTGTTTTGTTTGTTTCAAGTGTGACAGCTTCCGGGCTAGTAAGGATGTGTACCACAGCAGCTCTCTGTCAGACATGGTGACAGCACCGCTCAGCCCCGGCCAGGACGACGTGTTCTGGAGCGTGAGCCACAGCAAAGAGCAGCCCCCAAAGGTGGGTAAAACCCAGGGTGTTTGGCACTCTTGGGGGTTGATTGCACTGTGCTGTATCCACCCTCTGCACTTCATGAAACTGAAAATCTCGTTGCTTTTATATGAACTGGGTCACACTAATCTAGAAAAAGGGATGCAAATTTACAGGCAGGTTGGTGTTGTGGCTTTGTGTCTATGTCGTGGTTTGACACTGGCCATAAGCCAGGCACCCACAAAAGCAAATCTCTCACCTTCTTTTGCTCTTAGCTGGGCAGAGGAGAGGGGGAAAAAAATTAATGAACGATCACGAGTTGAGATGAGGACTGGGAGAAAAACACTCTAAGGGCAAAACAGGTTCAAATTTAAAGGTATAAAGTAAATTTATTATTAAGAGTCAAAGGAGGATAATGAGAAGTAAAATAAGCCTTTAAAACACCTTTTTCCCCCTCAGATTCACCCTCCTTCCCACTGACAGCGTAGGGAGACATGGTGTGGGTGTTTTGGTCAGATTGTCACCTGAGGTCTTTTTCTGTTTGTTCAAGGAGAGGAGTTTTTCCTCTGCTGTGCTGTGGGGTCCCTCCCACAGGAGACAGCTCTCTGTGAACTTTTCCAGCGTGGCTCCAATCTCACGGGCAGCAGTCTTGCCAAAACTGCTGCAACATGAGTCCCTCCCATGGGCAAAGTCTTCCCAAAACTGTTGCGGTGTGGGTCACTCATCCACAGGGTGCAGACCTCCAAGGACAGGCTGCTCTCTCTGGAACCGGGGCCCTCTCTCTCTATTTGTGTCTCTCACTGGATCACAGCTTTCTCCAGCACCCACCCGCTCTGGCGTGAGCACTTCTCCCACAGGCTACGAGTGAATCTCTGCATCCCCCTGGGCTCCAGGTGTTACAGGGGGCACTTTGTTTCACCATGCTCCTCACCACGGCCTGCACAGGAATCTCGGCCCGGACGCTTGGAGCACCTCCTGTCTCTCTTTCTCCACTGACCTTGGTGCCACCACGTTATTTTCTCTTACATGTCCTCACTTCATCCTCTTCTCTGTCTAGAAGAAAAACTGCTGCCCGTAGGTGCCGTAGCCACCAAGTTCCAGCAATTCAAAGATTCCTACAGGATCTTGCAGCGCTGTGAGATTGATCTGGGTTGGGTTCAGTGTCGGGAGTCACTCGCCACGTTTTCGCTGCCGGCCAGGCGGCCCCGCTGCCATTGTGTGGGCGGTGGCGGCCGCGGCGCTGGCGCTATTGAACGCCTCTCCTCACGCAGGGCACCGGGAAGGAGAAGCCGCCCCCGGCCTTGTGCCCGCGGCGGGGCCGGCTGGGGTCGGCCAGGCAGGCAAGGCTCGCTGCAGGCCGCACCGAGATGGCGGCGGCTGCGGTGGCACATTGCCGCGGGCTGGGCCGGGATGACCCTGGCGGCGGCACCTCGCCACCCCTGGAAAAAACTGCCCGTGTGCTGGTTTGATTTTCTTCTTAAATGTCATCACAGAGGTGTTACCAACATCTCTAACGGGGCCAGCAGCATGTCCATCTTCAGAGCCATCAGAGTGGCTCTGTCGGACATGGAGGAAACTTCCAGCAGCTTCTCACAGAAGTCACTTCTGTGACCCATCCCCTGCTACCAAAAACCTGGCCATGCCAAACCAACACAGTGTATAATGTCCACCCACTTATGATATCTGCAGGATCTATGATTGCAGACACACCTCTTTTGTTAGACCAGGTATTTGTAGCAGCCCATTTGATGAAAAAGTCTGGCTTGTTGTGGGAAAGCTTGTTAGTTTGCGTAAGTGAGGTGATGGTGTATTTCCCTTTTTAACAGAATTTCTAAGAACAAGTCCAAGAGTATGTGAGAAGGAATTCATATGCCCGTGTGTGTACTTATTTTTTTACTTTGCAGCTGGGGATGTGTGTGTCTCATTCCCCAGCCTGTGGTAACAATATAAGGTAATCCACCAGATGGGGAAAGCTGCATTCAGTGACTGCAGATGCCTTTCACTGTCTGCTTTAATTATTGACCAAGAATGATACTGACTCTGAGGAAAGGGGCAAACCTCTTTCTGTCTGAACCCTGATAGATTGCAAAGGTTTGGAGCAAACTGGAAGCACCTGCTGCTGCCTTGGAGCTTCCAATGCTGGTATCATGGAATACATCCCCACAGGTCCCACTGAACTATTGTTCATTTCTGTTGGTTAGTCTTGTTTTTTCATTCATATAGGATAAGCATTAGGTTTATTGACTGAATCTAAAATATCAATAGCAACCTTGAAATGTTTGATTACGTCCTTAAGGTTCCAGAAAGGACAACCTCGAAATTCTACAGCAGGGATCAGCCTGGCCCTCAGAGGTGCCTTTCAAGGTAAGCTCTAAAGTGTTTTATGCCTATATTAAAACCAAACTTACACTGTATACTTTATATGTGTACAGTGTCCTTATACTATGTTTTATGCTTAAACTAATTTTTTTAATGTTGCTTTATTGTCAGTAGGAAAACTGAAGTATCTGGTAGATGCTCTGCCTCAGTGCCAGTGGCATTGGTTTCAAGGGAGAGTCAGGTGTGCAGATGCTTTGGTGAGGGGTGTCTGGCCTCAACTCTTTGTACAGGCACTTCTAATTACAGCTTGTGCTGCTTGTTTTGCCTGATAGCAGCTTGAACACCCAGTTTGTATTGTAACAATTTTGGCAGTCTGCCCTGAAGGGTGGTGTCATATCCCAGGAGAAAAGACCAAGGATGTCTAGAGTCCAGCAGTAAAGGGCAGCCCCCACTGGATCAGGGAACGGAATGGGTTGGAGAGACTGGAAAGCGAGGTCGATTTAGCTGAAATAGCAAAATGATGTGCAGCATTTCTCATGACTCACAATCAGAAACATCATCTGAAATAACTTTCAAGTGAAATCAAGCCCTAAGTGCTCTCCACTTGGGAATTACAGGAGGCGAAGCAAAAAAACCACATGTAATTGTCACTGTTACAAATGAGTGACTTCTGGACTGGGTTTCTGGTTGAGCCACTGGCTCGGCAACTTATTTTACTGTTCAATGCATTCATTTCTCTATTGATAAGTGACTGCTGATATATCTTCTAGGAAGGGAGTGGAGCAGTTCTACTGAGTTGCAAAGCCATGAGATTTTGGAATCAGGACTGACATAGGTCTGAAGAGTCCAAGGGAGATGTAATATAGAAGGATATTTTGTAATGGCTTGAGAATCTCTAAGTTCCCAGGATGACTGCCCAGAGGAAACTGTCCCCTCCATCATCTCTCACTCCTGGGTGGCCCTGCTTGGAGCAGCACTGAAGATAAACTTTTCATTATCCAGAATATGGTCTCTTACTCTAACAGCAGGGAGCTCAATCTGCTGGCCCAGGAGCTCTGTTCCAGTCTCTCTTCCTGCACACGAGAGTCTCATCTGCTTTTTGTCTTTCTGTTTAGTAATACTCATCAGTCATCCCCCGGGGGACATGCTCTGAAGCTGAACAGTAGCAGCAGCACTCCTGGCACCAAGCAGTGGGAGATGGGATCTCATCAGAGCAGCTGGTCAACCTCAGGTGATTCCTAAGTCAAAGATCCATCAGTCAAAATGTACTAAACTCCTTTCACATGAAATCATCTTCTGCAGGATGTCAAGTTCTGCATTGCAAATGGAATATGTCCTTTTAATGACATCCTCTAGTGAGAGGCTCTTGAAAGCCCTCTGGATTTTATGGTTCCATGTTCCTAAAATATAAGCACTTCCTCATTTGAGTCAGAAAAGTGACTATGAATATATTTTCATATGGAAACTTTGAATTGCCTCAATTAAGAATTGAAAAAAAAATAATTTCAGTTTTGAAAAAAATAATTGCAGTTAGTGACACAATTGAAACTCAGCAGAGCCAACATTCCAGTCACACTGATGTAATTCAGTACTGATGTGCACCCATTGGCAAATTCTGCTCTTTGCACTGCCCACTGATGATAGAATTGAGCAGTTGATGTACACTAATATTTCTGCACTCTAATAATGTACTGGCAAAAAGAAGCATAAGTCTCTCTCTATGGAACATTATGAAATATTTCTCCAGTATTCTTTTATGTGCAGAAAGATAGTGGATTTGAAAAAAAAAAAAAAGGGCAAAAGAAGTTAAAATTAAGAGAAAACTGTCTGATTTAGGCGAAGTACAGCTTACTAAGCTCCTTTGCTGTCACTGGTAATGGTGTAGGAGTACAGCAGCTTGCTCATTGTAGTGAAGTTTTTTGCAATACAGATTCTGGTTCCTGAGGTTCTGGCAGATGGGGACATGGAGAAGTGGACAGCTTTTTTCATCTCTTGCTACTATTGTGGGTGTTTTCTGCAAGGCAGTTCTTGAGTAGCCCCTCACAAAGCTCTGGTGTGTCACAAGACCTTGCATCCAGGTCAGCCACTAAAGACTGGGAGCATGGGGAGTCACACATCCCAGGTGGAAGCAGGGTGGATGCAAAGAAAAGAAACCACCCCAGTGAGCTTATGAGGTCATTTATTTTTATATTGAGGTTTACATTGTTAATTTAAAAGCCCTTGATAAATGAGGAACAAATTGCTTATTTATTGCACTTATGCAATCAGGCCAGTTTTGCTTTTACTAGCTACCCAAATTAAGAAGCTTTTCTTTAAGAGAAATCCAAAGCACACTTTAAATTGCTTGGGTTTTGTTTCTTTTTGCTCTTATGTCATTTTGTGTTTGAATAACAATGTTGAAAAACATGCAACAGCCCAGCTCAACTTCGCAAAGTCCACGTGATGTGTAGCTCCTGTGCTATTTTGGCATGGGGAAACAAAAATCTCACCAGCAATGGAAAGAATGGAAAACCTCCCTTGTGGTTTAAACTGTCTCCTTGAGTTCTTAAGTGTCATTAAATTACAGCTAGTTCTGGCTGATGGCATTTCAGATGGAGTTTGTTGCTTTCCCAAACCCACAGGGATAATGAATTGGAGGAAAAGGCTATAAATACTTTAAAACTAATAGTTCTGCTGAGTTGCTTAGGTGCTTATTGACCAGTAAGGAATTCTGAGTGTTGAAAGCTTTGCAAAATGGATGAAGATATGAAACCATTGTGACAAAACTAAATTACCAAATGCGAATCCTAATTTGTGTGAGCTTGAATTCTCCCCCCTTGACTTGCAAAGGGTCCTGTTGGTAAGAGTGGGGTAGTCATGGGAGAAACTGGTGAGAAAGGCAAATGTTGAGCTGGCCAGTGTGTCCAAGGGCAGGGTGATGGTACAGTGGCTTTCCTTCCTTTCCCTTGTGTCAGGTTTTGGGTGCAGAGCATCCCTTCAGGGCCTCTTTTGCTTTTTCCAGTGTTTGCAGGCAGTGGGGGGCCCACATTTCACAGGTGGATTTGCAGTTTAGTGCAGCTGTTTGCCCTCAGCCCAGTTGGGTCTAGATAATCAGACTCTTTGGGCTGTATTTGTGCAACAGTTTTATGAAGGCCAAATCTTGGCAGCGCCTTTATTTCCTCTCAGAGGTGTGTAGGGAGGCTGGAACTCCTGCACTTTCTTGCTGACCCACTTGTCTGCAGTCACAGGAAATAGCTGTGTGGCCTTTTGGTGCTGGAAGATGACCAGCAGTTGCTGGTGTGACAAACTGTCTCTCCTCAAGAAGAGGATCAGAGGAGGGGATTAGGATGCCCTCACCTTTTCCCTTGCTCCCTTTCCATGGAACTGTGGCTGATGGGCAGTGGGAGTATGTTGCCAAGGGTTTGGTTTGTTTGTCTTACTCTTGCAGCATTAAAGTGCACCAGTTTTAAATTCTGTACATAATATTGCAGCACCCAGAACCACTGGGAAACAAGCAATGAGATTTTCCTTTGCAACAAAGAGAAAAGAGAAGTTTGTCAGCAGAGACTGGTATCTGCTTTGGGTTGTAGCTATGTGTGCTTGTCTTGCTCTCTCACCTGCTGCATGTACACTTAGAAACTTTTGTGTTGTTTTACCCCCAGGAATCCCAGGGAATCCAGGACTTGCCAAGACAGAGAATGTTTTGTCCCAGAACCACATGCAGTTGCATCAGAAGCCTGAAAAAGTTTCTCATCCAGGCCAGATTGCAGTAGGTTCTTTTAAATCCACTGATATTTTTGATTTGTCCATCATTCTTACCAAGGGGTCTGTCTGTGCAAGCAGTTCTGTTTTGGTGTGTGAGTTTGCTGTCAATCATGACTTGACCTGAGGGGTGTGTGAGGCTGGCTAAAGCTCACTGCTCTCAGTCCAGGTCTTGTGTCCAGCTCAGGTCCTCAGCAGTGTCCAGTTTTGGCTCAAGTCACTTTCCTGTGTGAGATACCCACCTGTGTTGGACCAACTTAAGTATCAGCTTCCTAGTAAAGCTTTTTTTGGTGTGGCAGTGACTACAGCTGTATATGCTGGGACAGTAAAATATGGCGCATGCTGCTGAACAATGGGTTCTTGAACTGAGTTTTCTTTGCTCAGAGTCCAGGCTCCTTTGCCAAGGTGAAGGACAGTGCCAACTCCTTGTTAAAAGCAGCAGACTATTCCTCCTCAAGTGACGAAGTCAGCAGCAGCAGCAGCAGCAGCAGTGATGAAGATGATACAAACCACACAAGGTTGGCTTGATTATTAATAATAATAATAATAATAATAATAATAATAATAATAATAATATTCTTGTTGCACACATATCTAGAAAAAGCTGGCATGTGTAAATACTACCCCTCAGAAGTTACTATCATTCATTTGTGTCAGCTGTAATTAAGCAATTTAATTGCATTTTAATGAACTCCTGGGGGTAAATGTTTGCTCCATCAGATGTGCACAGCGTAATAATACACTTTGATGACTTGCTGCCCTGGGACAATGTGGAAATGTCTTGTTTTAACTGGATATACTGGGCAGTGCTTTTATAGGGATTACTTCACATTGATCTACATTTACATGGAAATTTTGAAAGAAAAAAGGAGAGGGAGACAAAACTGTAAAAACTATATGCCTTTATAACAAGTACAGATTACAGTGGAGAAAACAAGGCAAACATGACCCTTGAATTCATGTAGTCTGGTCACTCTGAGAGAAATAATTGCCACTGAAAAGTTGATTCCTTTACCAGGGCAGTTAACAAAAAGGAGGGATAGTTTTGTAAAATGTGTTGTATTTTTAATACTGACATTCTGCACAACTGTTGTGGTTTCCAGCTGATGCTGTGGCTCGTCCAACAGCTGATCCCACCTGAACTGTGTCTCTCTAGCTTTCCAGTTTATCTTGCTGGTTTTGTGATTGACATCTTGTGGTTTACCTGTCATGTAAAATATGTATTCTGCTGAGAAATAGTGGAGCAAGAATAGCTTGCTACTCCAAGAGCAGGGAGACAGGGGGTCACTTGGACACCCCTGCTGTTAGGAACAGCAAACAGAAACATTTTTTAATAGTGGTGAATGAAACTTCTGATTTTCTTGAAAAGAGACTTCAGTTTAATTCAAGTTCTAGGATTTACTTTTAAATGCATCTGAGGGCCACAGAGCTCTCTGGGATGGGGCTCTTGCTCTTCTGACATAATTATACATGCAATTTTGTCAGGTGTCAGGCAGAGATGCCCAGATGTGGAGCATTGTTGGCAGGTTATTGTGTTGGGTTGGTCGTTTCCCCAGTGCTGCTCTGAAGAGGTAGAATTTTTGTGCCTGCATATGCTCCTGATTTGCATTTCTGAAGTTCATTTTCAAAGCTGAGATGAGGAGAAAGAATGTTAAAAATCTTGTAGCTTATTCAGTGCCCCTGAAAGAGCTTTTACTGTAATGCCTTTGTTTTTCTACTGATCCTCTTCCAAAGCACCTTATTCTGATCTGTAAAAAGTTTTATTCACTCTAGGTCATAGAATTCATCCTAGACCTCAGAAAGATGCTACATAAAAATATGGATTTGCCCTGTAGCAATGACTTTGCTGTGTAAGTGTCAGATTGCTGTGATCCTTGCATGCTGTAATGATTTGAAGGAGTGGTATCACTGCCTTTGGAGCTCTGCATTTGTTATTTGCATCTCCTCTGTGTCTGAGATCCACCCGTCCTCTGGAGAGGTGCAATTAGCAGGATGGTCCCTGTCACGTTTACCTTCCTGTGCACACAGCCGCTGCAAGAGCCCCTGTTAAATCAAAGGTATAATCTTGCTATTAACAAAGCCCCTTCATCTTGGCATTTAATATAAATGAACATCATTTATATTAAAAGATACTTCAGGAAGTATATCCCGATTGCTGCCAAGTAAATAGCAAAAAGGATAGTGATATGACTGAAAGGAGCAGCCAGTGAAACTGCATGTTCTGGATGAAGTGAAGAGTTTGGGGTATTTTGCTCTCTAAAGCATGTGACTGTAGGATCTGAAGCCCCTTGCACTCTGGAGTGTTTCTATGGGGGCTCTGGCTGAAGCACCTTGGGCCAAGTTTTAGTGGGCTACTGAAACCAGCCTGTGTTTTCCTGTTCTTACCTGGGCTGTGGAACGGCACCTGATGTCCACACTCCAGCTTTCCCAGTAGGGAACAAATGCAAGAGAAGTAGCTTCCTCTGTTCTTAGATGAATCCTGTTAACCACCCTGAGAAGGCTCATTTCTGAGGATCCTGGACTAAGGGCTACTGTGTTTCACCAGTAAAGCAACTTCTGGTCTTGTTTTTCTTTACAGTGAGATGAGCCAGAATTCTTCTTCACACTCTCCAGTTCTTCATTTTAAGGAAGGTGTCAGTGTATATGATCCACTGTCTTACCTCCTTGTTTAGCACATCTATTCCATTGATGTTAATTTCTCCTAGGTTATGGAGAGTGCTTCCTTCTCCAGTGCCTGCAGTATGCCCCTAAAATACTGAGTATCCTGGGACTCATTTGTATAGTTCAGTTTCCTCTGCTCTTTAGTTGCTGTTTCCTACCAGCATTTGGATGAGGTGTATGCAGGTGTGTGCTAGGAATTACTTTCTCCCTCTCCTAAGCTGGAGGTTGATATTATTTAAGATCAGCTGCTGTTTGCTTCCCTGATAAGAACAGGTCCTGGAATTCACCATTAATCCTAATCCAAATCTTGTCGTTCCTTTCAAGTTTAGTATGCAAATATTTACTCACCCACATAGAATGGGCAGACAATACAAAACCAAAAAATAAACAAAAAGTCCCACAAAAACTTCTACTTGTACACACCCATCTTAAATCAGTAGGTCTCTCACCAAAACTTCTTTGTTATTGCATGGGGCATAATTTAAAAGAAAAAAAAAAATACTTTACAGTCTGCTACCTTTTGTGTAGGGCTCTTCACATTGGCTGAATCCAGTCAGTTTTATAATTACTGGAAAGGAGGCAAAAATGTAATAGGCTTAAGTGGATTGGAGTAAAAAAAATGAGTATAAATAAATAAATGGGATAAATAAATCATTTGAGGTGGAAGTGTGCATAAATGGGGCCAAGACATGTTTGATGCAGTTCCACTTGGGTGAAAAAGTTTAAAATGCAAAGATACCTCAGGCAGTGCAGGAAGCAGTGATGTACTGGGAATTCACAATAGACACTTGACTTGTTCTCACTCTTGCTTTTGGGATCAGCTTTTGATCACTGTTGAGGATGGAATGCTGGGCTAGGGGGGCTCTTGGCCCCAGCCAGTCCAGCAGCTCTTGCTTTTCTGTGTGTGCTCCTGTGCTTTTCTGTTCTGTTTTCTGTGTTTCTCTGTGTACTGAGCAACGTTTTCTGTGTTTCTTTTTAAGGTGAGGATGTCCATGTCTCAGGGACTGATTCACAGAATGAAATTCCACTGTAGCCTGTCCCAGTAGGCAGTGGCAGGTCCCTGATGGCAGCACATGGCAGAGCAGCTGCTGCTTTCCCTGGAGAGCAGGGTGGCTCATAATTACACCTCACAGGGGAATGTGTGACGGGAGACAGAAGTTTTGAAGTAGGCACTTCTCAAATGACAGCTTGAGGGACTTGCCTGAGCTATGCAGTGTCTGAAAGATGATGGGTGAATGCAGGGAGATGAAGGGATGTTCTCTGTCAAGGTGGGGAGAGCTTCCTGCTGTGTGTGAGTGGTCCTCAGGCACAAGTCCATTCAGGCAGATCCACAGACTAATCAGCTTGCTTTTGTACAAGAACCTTTGAGTGTAACTATTGAATGTTAATTATGTTCACTTTTGAACATGGTTATGTGTAGTTTTTTCCTTTTTCTTTCTGCTTTTATTTTTTTTCCCTGAAGTAGTTCTGTTCATTAATTGGAGTTTGTTACCAGGCAACTGCTAAGCGGCAGAATTGCAGATTTCTCAAGGACAAGGGTACCAGATGGAATTGAACTGAAACCCCAAAGCACCGTGGCAGAACAGAAGGTAATTTGGCCATTTGTAAGGGGGTGGGTACAGTGAGGGGGAGTCAGGTCATTAATGTGCATGATAAATGCAATATCCATTACTTCTTGGGAGCATTCTCACTCTGAAGTCCTGCTCTGTCATTACAAATTACAGTTATAAGCCTTGAAAACAAATGTGCAGTTTCAGGTTTTGTGCTTCCTGTAGAAATGCTTACATTTAGGTACAAAATTGTAGTTCTTTATTCCTCCTGCTTATTGACCCATAGTAGTTTCTGATGTCAAGGTATTTTGTGAAGGCACTGGGAAAAAGGCACTGTTGATTATTGTTGGTGTGCATTGTTGCTATTTTTAAGAATCTTGATTCTTTTTATTCCAGTTTCAAGTGAACTACCTCCTACTGCTTAAAATATTACCAGAACAGGGGAAAACCACTTCATGTCTCCCTACTGGCTTAGCAAAAATTCTTGTCTTCTCATATGTCATGTTGTGGTTCCTTACAGCTGTAGTTTCTAGTAGAAGCTTCCAGTCATGTGGATTTTCCCCTGAGATAAATATTAGCACAGAAAAGATGAAGAGAGACAAAGCAGAACAATGTTCTTTGCGGTTGAAAACAAGAAAAAATTACAGTAGTAAGACTTGTACTTGGTGTCAGGGCCCTTTTCAGATATTACTGAGTATATTCTTGCTTCACAGATAAGGAAAATAAATCACTGTGAAACTGGTATTTTCTCCAAAGCTGTGTCAGGGTAGAAAGAAAAAGGAGTTTTCTTTACCTCTGGTGTCTCTAAACTTCAGACCAGAGTGGTGACCCTCCTGCCTGGGGAGGGAGTTCCACGTGGCCTCTGTCCCACCATCCTCAAGGAGAAAAGACTCTGCTTAGGAGAAAGGACGATAAATGGGCCATAAACCAGTATTTCTCTGCTGGCAAAACCAGACCAGTGTTTCCCCTTTCCCCTGATATGCTGGTATTGGAAGTAGGCTGCTTGAGGGAAGGAAGAATGTTTGGGTCTTTGAGGGTGAGGGAGGATGATAAAGAGTTGAGGTTATGTGTTTTGGTGAGTTTGGAGGAAAGAGTGTGGGAGGGAAAACAGGCAGAAGGCTGACATTTCTTCTCATAAATTTCTCTGCTGCCTTCTAGTCTTCTCCCCCCTTTTCATGGAGCTCCCCTTCCCTTCCTCTGAACCCTTTTTCACCCACCAGCCACAGCTACCTTGAGTCTCTACATCATCTCCAGCATGGCTTTCCTTGTCCCATCAGCGTGAAGTGCTTTGAAGTGGTTAGGTTGTATCAAACTGCCTGAGTGATTCAAATGGGGATTTGGTTTGATCTAGTTCAGTTGACTGTGACTGAAAACTGAACTAAAAAGCCCCATGCTGGCTTGGTTCCCCAGTCTCTATTACTGACTTGCATATTTTGGGATCAGTTTTTACATCTAAATTAAAACATAAAATATATCCCCAGAAACCAACCTCTGACTCCATGGATAGTGCTGGCAGGGAAGGAGTTCATGTGGTACCTTACAAGGTTCCTAAGTATTTCCATGGGATGCTGTAAGGAGGTCTGCAGAACCAAATGTGACTATACTGGAAATGCTGATGCTGGGTCCTACTAAATGTCCTGCTTCTGGAGTAATGTTTCCTAATTCAGTAAATGGAAAGTAGCAATGAAATGAATGGTGTGAAGGGCTTCAAACTAAATGCAGGTCCAGAACCAAGAAGTGCCACCTTCTGTCTGCAGTACGCAAAGGTCAGGTCTGAAACTCGTTATCATATCATTTGACTTGGTATCTCTGAGGCTGAAGTTCCTTCTTTTTCTGTGGTTGAGGTAATGTACATGAAGAATATTTGTGGAGCACTTCAGGAGAAAATCCCAGATTTGTCATCTCGGATGTTTGCCATACACTTTGGTATTTAATTTTTGGTTTTAATCTTGCCGTAGGGTTTTTTTTTTAAATGATGCATCAGGGAGAGCACTCTGAACAACATGTGCACATTATTTATCATCCTAATTAACTGGAGTTGCAGAGTGCACTGGAAATAAACTAAATGTGTTTAACTGTATGTTCTCATGCAGGATCAGATTTTAGTGAAACAAATTCCAAACACCCAAGAAGGCCTTTGGAGCATAAACAATCAGAACTATCTCCTGCCAGATCTCCTCCAGCAAAGCCAAATTACAGATTCCTCTGTGAACCCGCCACAAGTGCCACTGACTTGCCAGGAACCTCAGAACAAACCTCTGACAAAGGTAAGAGATAAATTACAGATTGACTGGATTGAAATCTAGCCTTTTTAAGTTCTTCTATCATGTCTCTTTTTCGTTGAGTTTTTTCACTACAACCCTTCTTTCCTTTAAAAGTTCTGTCTGGGAGAAAGATAAGAAATCTTGAGCTGCCTAACAGATTTCGTTGTTCCACTTATTTTCCCCCATCCCCTTCTCTGCTCTCTTTGTTTCCTTGATTTTTTTTCCTCCCCTTTTGCACAAGTTAGAGGACTCACACCCTCTGCTCCTTGCCATGGCAACATTCTGGTGTGCCTCTGCTCATTGTCCCTGGCTTTCTCCCACTCAAGCATCATATGAGGGAGCACGGGGGCCAGGGCAGCCCCAGAGGACTCTGGCACTGCTGTGAGCATGGGCCCATGGGGAGATGGGTCACTAGAGGCACATAACAGCTCTGGCAGGGAGCCACAAGGTCTGTGCCCCAAGCACCGCCGGCCTGAGGCAGCTCTTGTTTCTCTTTGCAGAGCCCATGTGCTGAAAGCCCACCTGCCAAGATCAGTACATCCTCCACAACATCCTTCACATCATTCATAGATCCAAGACTTCTGCCAATCACCCCTCCCACCAGTCCAGTAGGACCTTCCTGTAGTTCTCGTGAGTATGCTTTGCCTTTGCATTAAAATGTTCCTCCTGGGTTGTTTTTTTGGTGTTTTTTCTTTAATTTATTTTTTTTTGGGAGGTACAGAGAGGGCTTATTGCTTGGAAATGAAAACTCTTGAGTAAAATATCCTGAAACTGGAACTTCACATTACTGTGAATTTTCATTGTCCTGCTTCTGCCCTTCTTTCAGATGTGTGTTTTTGGGGTTTTTTCGGCTATACAAAGCTCTCAGGGTGTTTTCTCACCCCTCTGGGGTGAGAATTTCTTTCATTCTACCATGAACAAGGTGGTTCAAATATGACCTTTAGCCAAGCACTCACATTTTCCACAATTTCGTGTGTCTTTCATTCCAGCATCTAGTGCCAAACCTGAGCCTGTCAGGAGGGAAAATGCAAGGAAGGGCTCCGTTGTCAATGTCAATCCAACCAATATCCGCCCACAAAGTGACAGCCCAGAAATCCGTAAATACAAGAAGAAATTCAACTCCGAGGTCCTGTGTGCTGCTCTGTGGGGTAAGCTGGGAGTCCTTGGGCAGGTGTGTGGAGGGAAGGCACAGCAGGAGAGGCTGGCAGTGTCTGCTCAGCAGATTTCACAGTTGTATTGCTGCTCTGCTGGCAGAGGGTGCTGGAGTGGATCCCTGAGCTGATACCTGCGTCACTTAGATGGCCCTGCCTTCTCAGGGATGAGGTGGCAAACACATGAATTACAGCTGCAAAGGACTGTGCACTAGAATGAGAAAATGTTTTGACCAAGCACCAGCTTGAAACCATGCTTGTTGGGAGAGCCAAAAGTTGCAAATGTTTCAGCAGCTTTTGTGTCTCATGAGACTCATCTGAGCTGCACATGGGTACAGCTGATCACAGAGCCCTGACCCAGTGGAAGTAATCCAAACTTGAAACCTTTTGCTGTCATGTGTGTTAGATATTCCAAGGATCCAAAGCAGGTCAGGTACTTCCAGAAGCTTGTCTTGTTTAGTTCCTGCTGTCACTGCTTTTTCTGAACATCACTAAACCAGTGTTTAAACTTAGATGCTTTTTACAGAGTTGGTTTCATGTGGTGTAAAACCAACATACAGAAGTCAGACCGCTGTCAACAGCTGTAGACCTTGCCCCCGTTGCACATCAGCTAAACTCTTGAGATGTTTTAACCAGCTTTCTGCTTCAGAAGAACAGATGTATTCTATGGGACTTGCCCAGCCTTTTACTCCTCACTTTTTGAGCCTGGAATGGCAAGTGAATGAAGTAGATGGGACATTATCCAAAGCAAATGTAGATTTGCAGTTTATAGCTTCACAGATTTTGTGTAATGTGGGTTTGTAGGAATCAAGAACAGAGCTGTGTGGCAAGGTGTGTAATTAAATGTGCATTGAGGCTGAAGAGCACCAGGTACTTGTCAGAGCACTGCCAGTGGAGGAGGGTGCTTGTTACAGCAGGATACCTTATGTTGTGTCTTTAGAATCTGCTGATTAGAAACATAATGACATAGATGTCATTCCAGCCAAACACAATTTCTGACATTCTCTGATGTCAGCAACCCAATGGAGCCTTCTCTTCCTTAGCAGTAGTTGAATTTCAGATGGATTCACTTCTTAATTTGGCATTTGAAGACATTTTCCAAAGCGGAGACTGTTTTCAAACAAACCCTCCTTGTAACACAGTGCTTCTTCCCACAAGTTTGGTGTCCCCATGATTTGAATGTTGTATTTGGAAAAAGAGAGTTTGGGGGAGATTTTTTTTTGGTTGTTTTTCTTTTTTTTTTCATAATTAATAGGGACCCTTGGAACACTTAGTTGGGTCTCATGTATCACTACTGTAATGTTGCTGGACTGGGACTTTTGCACTGGTCACAGGTACTTTTGAAGGTCACCTGAGAAGTTCAGGTTCACAGAATATTTTCCTTTCTGTTTAAATCAACATTGACTTCAGCATGGCTACTCATTCTTCAAGTTCCATAGGTATACATGTGTTCTGCTGAGCAAAAATTCTAATGGTGAGATTTTTTTTTTCTGGGAAGTCATCCACAGAGCAACAGAGGAATTATCAGGTACCATTAAGTGAGATTAAATAAAAATTGATTCTCAAAACAATGAACACTCGGTGACCTCTGAATCATTAGGTGACTTATGCAGTACTTTTTTCATGTATTGACAGGAGTAAATTTATTGGTGGGAACAGAGAATGGATTGTGGCTGCTGGACAGAAGTGGGCAAGGAAGAGTTTATACGCTAATTACAAGGAGACGCTTCCAGCAAATGGATGTTCTGGAAGGACTTAATGTGCTAATTACTATATCAGGTTGGTTCAGTGGCTAAAAGTATCTGACCCATGTTGGGGTTGGAGGCAATTAAAAAGAATTAGGTTATAAACTAGGTTGAGGAATTTCCTGTTTCAGAAAATCACAGGACAGTTATTCTTGTTAATAGGAAAACTCTTCTGAATTTTTAACATTTACACTCCCATTCCAGAGTGGCTTTGGGACAATTCATTGCCTGGTTAATGTGTGAAATGGTTTCTGGGAAGTACAGAGTGTTTCATATTCCTAAAATGTACTCATTCTCTGCAAGCTATAGTTTGTCACTTTTCTTGTTTCTATGTTGGTCTATCTAACTTCAGTTCTATTAACATACCATGATATAACCTCATCCTGTGTTCAGCAAGGGGTATAAGCAATAACATGAGAGTGATGTCTGTTACGAAAGCATCAATAACATTAAGTGGAGGTCTTCAGCCTCTGCTGGGAAATAATTTGTACTCTGGCCTTATTCGCCATGGCTGAGACTGGCCTCAAAGGGTGCACAATACATACCCAGGTCAGAGGTGTGGGTCCAACAAGGAATAGCAGCTCATCTCCAATCCAGACTCATCGTGATGGGCAATGGCAACAGCTGTTTGTTGCATACTGCCAGGTCCAGTTGTTGCTGGGACATGACACAGCCCTCCTCTTCAGAGTAGTCTGTGGTCCCAGAGTGCTGTTGACCATAGGTGCTTATGAACTAATACAACAAAAAGAGTGATTGAGATGAAGAATGACAAAATAATACTCTCCTGGAAAGGCATCAAAAAGAAGGATAGCTACTTTGAATCAAGATTGACAGTTAATTAGAACTAAATGAATAGCTTCTTCAAAGTGGCCATTGTAGGACATGCCTATGTTCCAGGATAAGCAGTTAGTGTGATGGTTTCTGATAATACCTGTGTCTGTAGAAACCTGTTCTTTGGCCCAAGGGAAGAATTTTAGTCAGGTGTGAAAATCTTGCATGAAGTTTGAGTAACAAGGTAAATGCACATGTGCCCAGTGCCATAGGATTGCTCCTGTGCCAGTTCCCCCTGTGTGTCCCCGTCACCCCAGGCGCTCCTTTTGTGCCCTTGATATGTTCTCTCAACCCTGGCAAGGCACAAAGACCCACTGTACTCAAGGTCACACAACTCTGCCTTTTTATAAGTGGGGAGGGTTTGTAGTTCAGGGAGTTAAAGTGTTCCATCTCTTTGTGCAAATCCCAGGGAAGAAGAATAAATTGAGGGTGTATTACTTGTCATGGTTGAGAAATAAAATTTTGCGCAACGATCCAGAGGTGGAGAAGCGACAAGGCTGGGTGTCCGTGGGTGATCTGGAAGGCTGTGTGCACTACAAAGTCGGTAAGGATTTAATGTTCTTTTTCTTAGAGAGATGCTTAATCATCCTCCTTTTGCATCTCGTGACAGCAGCATTTTTCAGCTTTGTTTCAGGATTGTATTGGGTGAATATCTCATGAGTTCTTTCAAGACTCCCTGTTTTACATGGCCTTGCTCCCTGTCATTTCAGGCAGCATCTCTTCTTGCAGCAGTTACCAGATGATGTTATGGCTGTTCCCTATAATGGCTGGAAGGAGGGAGTGCCAGCCACGGTCTGTGCTCAGCCGCTGGTTCAGTTTTTCTGTAGTTACTTAAGGTTTTAATTGAACTGATGTTTTCAACCTCCTCAGCTTCCCTCTTGGCCCTAGGTAACAGCAAAGAAATTGGACCTAGTTCAAGTCCTAGTGAATTACATTTGTAGGATGTCCTTAGGTAGATCAGATTAGCCTTTTGTCTCTCATGAAAGACCCAAATATACCTTTGTTTAAACACCCTGGAAATAGTACCATCTTGCTTTTCTTTGGCTCTCAGGCAGCTCATTCTTGAAGGTGAATGTGAGGATCATGGTAATTTTTGTCATTTAACTCTGGGGGATGAATGTATGACACGAGTTTTGCTTTGGTGACGGATAGTGTGAGAAAATGGCACTTCGAAGTCAAAGAACGCCATACAGAGGAGTGCAGGAAATGGGAGGTGGCTGCTTCTCATTAATACCTTGCTTGACGATTTTGCCTTTTGTCTTTAGAAGTGGCAGGGGTTAAACTCAAGAAAGAATGTGAAACATATGTGTGTTGTTACTTTAACTGTGATTACAGCTAAGCACCCACCTATTCCACTAAAGTTGCTCATCCTTGGGTTTGGTACATTCTTTAAAAAAACAACAACAAAATACTTACCCTAAAATTAGGCAAACATTTGGTAGGATCTTCTGTGTTTACATATGACAAGCCACTCCTGCATTTCTGACAGCACAACTGCTGCTGTTTTTCTCTTGGTGAATCTTGTATCTTGACCTTTGGTTGTGCAGCTATTTCTCCAGGTAGAAAAGGAAAAGGATGTATTGTTCTGCATTCTGATGGAGTTTGCTGAGTTTTCTTTTTCTCTGCCTATATGAGATAGCATCCTGTTTCCAAATGCTTGTCTCTGGCAGAGTGAAAACACAATGCACAAACAAATCTTAATTTTCAATGCATGATTCTTCATTTATTTTCAATGGGCCCAGCATGACCTTAATTGTCATGGAGAAATTGCTCATCTCTTAAGTGCTTATTCATCTCAGAAAGATGGGAGTCCTTCACCCACACAGAGCACCTGGGGATTTAACCCACAGATGAGCACTGAAATGAAAATTCATCCTGTCAAGTCTGACAGAATTATTCAGCCAACAACCACCAGTCCTCCAAGAGTAGCTTATTCATAACCAGTAGTGGTGGGGTGTGTTCATACTTAAAAAGTCAAGCAGGTTGGTTTAGATGCAGGGTCAAGGCCTTTTTCTATGAGTAGTGAGATTTTTTTTTCATCACTAGATGAAAAGGAATATATAAACATTGGTAACAGTCATTTGACTTTACTGAAAATAAGTGAATTGTATGTTTCCAGTCAAGGTATTGTCACTGGTGATATTAAACAATGATGTCCTGAATGCATTAGTCTCCCTTTCTGGATAATGTCTACTTCTACAAATAATCCATTGAAATTATTTCATGTGATGAGATGGTCTTTGATTTAAGTGTCTGTCTGATACCTAAGGAATAGTTCTTCTTGTATTACAGTAAAATATGAGAGAATCAAATTCCTTGTAATCGCTTTGAAAAACTCAGTGGAGGTTTATGCTTGGGCTCCAAAGCCTTATCACAAATTCATGGCTTTTAAGGTAAGTGAAACATCACTTTGGTTCAGATGTGTCACTGTCTCTCAGTGTCTCTCATGTACTCTCTGCTTTTGTTTTTGTTGTTTTGTATAACATTTATTCTAGCTAAAGATAAACTGAGTATTCTTTTAAAGAAAATGTAGTGCATTTGATGTACTTTGGAGATGGCAAGCATGAAACTGTCAGTTGTGAGTGTTAGATGTGAATAACTTGCTTCTCTCTACTCCAGCCAAACACAGCAGGTGCTGTGCCAAAATGTGCATTTGAATTGACAAAGTTGATGTTGATTCCCCTCAAAAGGGGAGGAAATTAAACACAGTGGTAGTCAGCCTACTTTTTGTCTAGTCCATTTCTTGAATCTTGATTCCTTTTTCAAACCACAAAGAAATTATCCAACTGTCCTTGCAACTCAGTGGATGATGGATACTTAGCTCCTTAAATGTAACCTACTATTTAACAAAAATAGCTGTCTAACTTTTGAGTTTTAAGAAGTCTTAGGATCCTAAATGTAGTTCTACAAACCAACAGTTTTATTGTGTTACATACTGCATTTTTCTTTTTTCCAGTCCTTTACCTCACTTCATCACAAACCACTGTCAGTTGACCTGACTGTTGAAAATGGGCAAAGACTAAAGGTCATATATGGCTCAGTAGTGGGATTTCATGCCATTGATGTGGACTCTGGATCTGTGTATGACTTGTACCTTCCAACACACGTAAGAGAATCCAAAAAACTACATTAATGCCTTTGTTCTTGGGGCTTTGTATTGATGATGATCAGGTTAAGAGTTGTGCTATTTTTCAAAAGTAAGATTAGTGGAAGCTAATACAAAACCACTTTTCACATAGTTTTATAACACTGAAGTCCTGTTTAAATGCTTTTATCACATTTAGAACATCCATTTTAGTGATTTAGTGTCAGAAAGCCTGTTGTATGGACAGTACTATTTTTAATTGATTTATCCTGGAAATTTAGGACTTCAACAGTCGAAGACACAATAATATCTACATGAGTTTGGGTGATTTTTACAATCTGCCACTGTGCAGACAGCAGAAACCGACTTCAGACTAAATAAATTTGCTGATCTTCTTGCCATTCAATTGCCCATGAAACCACTCTAAATTTAGAAGTAGTTTTACATTTTCCTTGGGACTTTCTCATTAGATTGTCAGTAAGTGAGCATGAAGGTGTTGATTTCAGGAGTATGTGTACACCCTGCATTGTGTCTCTGTTTGAGGTGATGGTGATCACTAAATTCTTGCATAAGCACAGATAACAGCAAATTGCCCTGCAGAAGTGAATGGCTGGCATGGGGCTGTCTAATATGAAGTTTATGCTATGGTATTAATATATCTGGATTTTTGTTTGTTTGCTTATTTTTTAGCTATTCTAGATAGTTCTTCTCAAAGGTGTGAGTCCCAAAAGCCAGAGAATCTTGAGGGCTTAGATTCACCAAACTGGCAGGTTCCAGATTGGCTCCAGTCTGATGGGAGGCTCCTGGCAGAGAAAACTCTGTGCACACTTGAACCCTCCCTGAAGTCAACAGCGCTCCACAGGGGCTGGGGGTGCCATGGCCTCCTTGCATCCCCAGACCATATGTCCCAAAGTCATGCTTGGGAGGTCTGAAGAAATCTCATCCCAGATCTGCATGTTGCAGCCTGTGCCATGAATCCATCTATTTTTTTAACTTTTCTCCCCTCTCAGCCCCTTGTTTCAACTCAAATGAAAACCCACTCCTCCTGTGCAAGCCACTTGATCGCTCTGCTGCCCCTGCAAGCTGCAGTCTCTGCATTCTGTCAGACCTGTGTTCCTGATGGACACAGTGTGTAAGACTGGCTGTTAGATTTATAGACTTCTCTTAACTGAAAAATTACTTTTCTAGCTGTTCTAACTGTTGAATCACCTGCTAAAGGCTTGTCCTGTTTATTTCTGTGTTGGTTTTTTTTTAAGGTACTTATTATTTGTCTTGTTAGAGGTAGCTTTTAATCTGACAGTAGCTTTGTTAACTATGCAGCTGTGATGAATTCACATCAGTTTGTAAATTGAAGCATGGTACCCACATGGAAGTGGGTTGCTGAGCAAGGTGAACAGTGACTTGTCAAAAGGATCATTAGCACAATTGCCAAAGAGAAGAAAGTCAAAGAAAAAAGTGAACTTTCTTAGAGGCTTTACTTTTTCAACAGGCTGCAAATACAATTAAAGTACCTGATGAGAGCGATTTCCCAGGTGACTGCCCTGAATATGTGGGGCACCTGAGACTGACTGAGTTTGTGTGAGCTCTTCAGCCACAAGTTAGCACGGACTAAAAATATATTTTCCCTTCAGAGTCTTAGACTGAAATAAATCAGCTGCCACAGCAGCTCTATCTTTTTTGCTATTCTATTGTTTTAAAAGAGCTAGAACTAGATAATTATCTCAAGGAGCTTTGTGGTGGCAATAGCCCAGACTGTAACAGGCTGACTTGAGATACTCTTGCTTTCTGGTAGCCTCTTTTCCTGGCTCCCCACCTCTTTCTTCATCTCTTACCTGCTCCGGTCGCTCATGCGAGTACCAAGGCAACGCATTAAAATTGCTCTGCGGCTCTGGATCCCCGTTCTAGTGTTACGGATAGTTGTTGCGGAGGCACGGAGTCAAGTGGGTGGCCTGAGTGTATTCAGTTTGGCAAGTACAGCTTCAGTGCTTCTTTTACTGTTCGTTGTGCCCTTATGGTGTGCATAAATGTCTGTGCTTAAGGAAAAAAAGACTGTGTGGCTGGCATGTAAGAATGATGTAAAGCTCCAGTCATATGCTTCCTATGAGTATTGACTGTGGTGGTTTAGTTTACTATTTACCATCCTGTTCTGAGTAGCGCTTTAAACAAGGAAATGCTTTGTTACTGTTTTTCTAAGGCTGTCCTCTTTTTCTTTCAAAAATGTTTTCATAAAACCCCACCTTCATGGTACTTCACCTTTGGTTTTGTTTTTTGTTTTTTTTGCTTGGGATATGTTGGCTTCTGGGAGAGGTTTGTGTGAGTGAAATGCACTGTTCCTGTGGCATGCAGAGGGGTGCCCAACAGTAGTCAAGTGGGCAGCTATTTGTAGTTAAGGATATGGGAAGGGAAGGACAGAGTGAAAAGGTCCAGGGAACTTTTTACAGCAAGATAAATGTTACTAAATTTTCAGGTTTTAAACTTATGAGCGGGGATAGGAAAATATCATGGAAAGTGAAAGCACTCAGCTCCTGGAATGTGGAAGTTTCTGTCCTTCCTCCATCTTCTGAAAAAGTTGTGAATTCAAATTTATTTCACCTTTCTCCTATTTATATAATGCAACTATTTTGTGAGTGACTAAGTAAATATTATTGTGTCTCAATGGCTCCATGGCTTCTTGAAACCAATTAACACTGGTAAATTTAAAGTGAACCGTTGAACGTTGATTTATTTGCAAACCTACTGTCATATTCGAAGGGGGGAAAAGGAGAGAAAGTCTGTTTCAGAGGCTTACTAGCAAACTATACAGCCTCTGAGAACAGGCATTTCTTTCACTTTCCATGAGCCATGAGCTAGTTCTTTTTATTGCTCTGCCAGGCTAGTTAGATCAATGTCATCACTGAGATTGCTGTCCATGTTCTGATATAAATCTTAGTAAAATACGATTCTAGATCCAGGGGACAATTCGCCCACATGCCATTATCATCCTCCCGAACACCAGCGGCATGGAGCTCCTGCTCACCTATGAAGATGAAGGCATCTACATTGATATATATGGGCATTTCACAAAGGAGACTGTTCTGCAGTGGGGAGAAATGCCAGCATCTGTAGGTATGTATGAAAAATAGCTCTTTATTAAATATAAGATTCTGCTGCATGAAGCCTGACTTCTTTATGAGGTTTGTATCTATGTGGAAATGGTTGTATGGCACATAAAGCAGCTTCTGAGCAAACCAGATGTGTAAAAGAGTAAACAGATTTATGGGTGTTTGTGTTAACACAGCCAATGATTGCAATAGAAGCTTCCCATTTGGACCAGAGTCTGTATTCTTGTCACACTGTTTATTGCATCACACATTGACTATACAGACAGACTTCACTGAGGATGCAGCTTACCACCAGTTTTCACAGGGAGAATTATGTGAATTACAGAGGGGGAAAAGTGTTTTGGTTGTTCATAGCTCACAGCGTTTTATGTAGAAATTCACAGCTACTGAGGGGTCAGTTACTGAAGAGATCTGTAACTGCTGTCAAATGGCCCATTCATTTTATCACTTTAAATTCACAGGGCTGCCAGCCCAGGGTATTTGTGATGGATTCTTAATCTCCCAATGCTTGCAGTTGGCTGTGTAGGAGGAGATTCTGGTTGTACTGGAGCCAGGACAGCTGTTTTTTTCACCTTTCCCATAGGGCTTCAGACAGACAGTGTGGTGAAAATGAAGAACAACACAGGCAGATTTTTGGGTTTATTACTTGTTACTTTTAATTTCTGTCTCACTCTTGTTCTTTATTTTAAAACAAACATACCAACAAAACAAGCCCAAGACAATTAGACTGCACAGATGCCTGTTACTAGCTTGGTGGAAACCGGATACCACAGTGAAAAACCAAGGATGTTCACTTTTTCCTTTCACTTCTACCTGAGTAGTTTTAGGAAAAGCCCATCTTTAGGATGTGGTTGAGTTCTGATTGAAATCACATTTCAACTAACAGCTAACCTAACCTATAAATACACAATTCAAACTTCACGTAAGGGCCTCTCTTAACTGTTATTTTAATAATTTTACCACTAACTCCTATTAATTTTCTTAATCCTTTGATATCATTGGCTGTAGACAAAAACATTACGAGAGAGAAGTGTGAATAACTGTTATTTGAATGGCCCAGCTTAGGGGTAACTTAACAGTTTTTTAAAAGATCCTGTTTTCCTGGGATTTCTACACCCATTTCAAACCTCCTGAAGTCTGTATAAGCATATCTCAATTTTCACTCTCTGTTGCAGAGATAGAAGGGTCTTGTGTTACCCTCAGGGCACTCTCGAGTCATCCTTTGCTTATTTCTTGATTTCTTTAAACAAGTATTTTGAAAGAAAAGTTTGTAGTTGGTGAGAGTATTTTGATACAAAACATAAAATATAGTTTGTATTATAATCGATGGATTTAGGACAGGGAATCTAAATATATCTTATTCGTAGTCTTAAATTGGGACCTCTGTGACCAATCTGTTAATAATTTAGAGAGAGGAAGCTCAAATCCCATGGGAAATTAAAACTGTAGAAGTATTCTATGTTTAATCTGAAAGATGTACACATATGTAGGGCAAAATATAAATATAGCTGTAATATTTTCTGTAAAACAGGTTTTAAAAAGGCATTAAGAAACATCGAGTTAATAAGATTTAGGAGCACTCTTGCCCTTTTGTGTGAGTAATGAATTATTTACAGTATGTAGCCATAGAGGGTTGACACAAATCTGGATATTCCCAGAGGAACTAGTAAAAGTCTTTATTTCCTTTTCCCTGTACATTTTAGAAGCAAGAAGACTATTCTGTAGAGAAGCAGAAAAGTGGTTAAATTACTGCCTCAATGCTCTACAACATACCAGCTGGAAGCATAGGATATTTTTATCTAAAGCTGCAGTGGAAAGTGGACTCAAAGTAATACTCAAAGTATTCCCAAGGTGCTTGTAGTATAGGAGCTATTGTTCCAAAGTAAGACAACTTTTTTCTGAGTATCTGCTCTCAGTTCATCTCACATGAAACACCTTTAAAATCTCCCACGTGGGAGTATTATTATGACTCAGTACTGACCTGTGAACTCAGTACTGCTATCCTTCAGATTAATCTCCATGTATAGACAAGTCCTTATTACTGGACAACTGTGCAAATGGTGTAATGAGGCCATTTTGTTTGCATGCTGTTTCACAGATGAAATTTGGAAAAGAATTTTTTGATTCTGCTACAAAACTGAGATTTTATGCTACTTGTAATTAAACCTGTCATTGTCAGTTGATAAGTTCTTGGTATATTGGCCAGACAATAAAGCATCAGGGCTGAACTTTGCGTATCTGATTTATTCTGTTCCTGAATACTGCCTGGAGGTCAGATCTCTTCAGAACACAGCAGAAGTGGTCCTGCAGATGACCTAGAGGTTGCAGCAGTGGTTACTGGGAGCTGCATGGAAGCTATCAAATTGAAATCTGCCAAAGGCAGATACAGACACAGTGGTACCTGGAGTGTAAATTTCATGTAGTGGAAAAGATCAGGAGACTTATTAGTTCTTTGTTGCCAGACCTATATGACCTACACTAAATAGTGTAGCCACAGAATGGTTTCATGCTGTTAATATATATATGCACCTGCCTTGCTTCCCAGAACCACAGGGTGCCTCTGTCTCTGTTGCATTCAAAAGCAAAGTTTGAAAAGGTTAATGTGATTTCAATTGGTACAAAAAAAGAGCAAAAATTTGAGTCTTGTATCATTTTGATGCTCCTCGCTTTATGTGTCGTCTGGACTTTTCAGATACTGTAGACTGCATGGGTGGTGCCTTGGGTTCATCCTGCTACTGCTGCACTGTTCAGAAATGTTAATGACACTTCCTTCACAGCCTATAGCAATGGTGCCCTGTTGTACAGCCTGAAGCATAAAGATTTTAAAATATATTCCATTTCATCTGTTTGAGTTTTAGAAAATACTCCTTGCTCCTCTTTTGCCACTAACCCTTGGTTGCTCAGTGTTGCTTTGCTTTTAAAATACGTTGATTTCTTCCTTTTTCCTCATGACTGGGATACTGGGAAAGAATTATCTTGCTCATAGCAGTAGTGGCAGGGAAGCCTTCAGTGTGCAAAAAGAATAACTTAAAGTCTTCTGAACAGATTTAGGGGAAATTTATAGACTCTGAGGAAACTAAAATCACAACACTGTAACCAAGCCATATGTGTTTCCAAGGAGGTATGATTTTCATACATTTGTTCTAACAACAGTTATAAAGCAAGGATTCCAAGTTAATATTAAATCAACTCTGCTAGAAGTATATAGAGTCACGTGGGCATATTGCCTTTATTTTCTGCTGTCTTTCTCAAGCAGGATTGCAGGCTGTTGCTTCCAGTATCTGTCTGTACTGAAAGTTCAATTTTTAGACAAAAACCTAAATCAGCATGGAAGGTTTTAAGAAGCAGACCTTACTCACACTAATAATGTAAGGCAGACATACACTGTCCAATGAAGCTAAAACCCAGTCCAGTGCACACATTCCCTCTACATCATTTTAGAGCACCAGAATTCTCAGACTAATGATACAACAGGTGATAGTTGAGCAAGAAGAACAATTTCTGAGCGCTGACTACCAGTAGAGCATAACTAATGTGATTTTACCTTGGAAGCCCATACAAGTACCAATTGGAGGGCTTTCACTGAATCTATGCCTAATTTGACATCTGTGGTGTTAACTCCTTCATCACTATTCCAATTTCTTATTGCCAGATTTCAAGGGAGTATTGTAGTAAACTTCCACAACACTAGTCTTTTGGTTTTGGAAATATGGCACATAACCAGTGATGGGAAGACACCAAATGAATCATGCCATGGTCTCAGATTCTGAAGTATTTAGGTTTCCAACTAAGCTGAACTCCATAGTAAATACAAACTCAGCTTCCTAATGGGAACAGAGTACAGTGGGTACAGAGAAGATGGTGAAGACTTTTCTCAAATATGAACAGTTAAGAGATGAGAGGCAAAGATGGGCACAAGTTGCACCACGTTATATTAGGAAGAAATGTTCAGTCTTGAAAGTAGTGATGCATTGCAGTAGGGTCTTGGAAAGGTTGTGAACTATCCATCAAACCATATCTGTACAAGGTCCTGAGTAACCTTGTCTATTTTGGCCCTGCTTTGGGGCCAGCAGTTAAACAAGATGCCCTTCAGAGGTTTCCTTCAAGCTTTTGTTAGTCTGAGATATACAGTAATAGTTACGGTTTATGTCTAGAGTTCAGAATATAAGTCTGAGAGGACAAACTGAAATTTAGTTACTATTTCTAAGGCTTTTTGTGTAAATTTAAAATACAAATAATTCAGAATGTATTGTTATCAAAGATAAATGCATCAGATCCATAATTAACATAAATGAGGCAAGAATCAATCTTTCAGCTGTTAAATAATACCTTTTTTTTTTTTTTTTAGCTTACCTTCAGTCCAATCAGGTCATGGGCTGGGGAGAAAAAGCAATTGAACTACGCTCTGTGGAAACAGGAAATCTGGAAGGAGTATTTATGCACAAGAAAGCACAGAAGCTAAAATTTCTATGTGAAAGAAATGACAAGGTACAGAGATGACTACAGTGTGATGATTTAGCAAAATTGAGTAATAGCTGACTATGACAGACCAGTTCATTTTGGTAACTTTGTTTTTGGTTATTTCCTTGGTATAACTTTGGTATTGGTATTACCTTGGTATAACTTCCCTGTTCAAAGCCAATGTAGTCACTGATCCTACAGAGCACCCATTATGGATATTCATTATGGATGTTGCACACATTCCCACCACCAGCTGTTAGAACTCTCTATTCACCCAGCCTTCTCTGCTGTCAGTAATAACAAATACAGGCATTGTGAACTGCACAGCACCACAGGTGTAGTGGGGAGGGTTAGTTTTTGGGACTGAGCCGCAAAAATTCCCAGCTGCAGGACTGCCTCTCATGGGCTACTGAAATTACAGGCAGTTCAGAGCAGTCATCATGGGGAAAAAAAAATCCAACACTCTTAATTGCAGACACTGATGGGTATGGATAATCAGGTATGATTTCTTGCATATAGCAGTTTTGGTAAATGTTCTCTGAAATCTGTTTAGTCCTACTGTCATAATTAGAAAATGGAAGCCCTAAAACCTTAGATTAATTATTTTTAAATGTTCTCCTATGTTTTTTCAAATAGGGGAAGAAATACATTAAATAATGCAGTTGTACCAGAAGTACAGTTTCACTTTAAAAAGTTTCTCATGGGATTGAAATTCAATTGTGATATATGTATATCCTTGTATTTGGGACTGTGGCATTCTATCACCTTTACTATATGAGTAAAAATATTTTCATAAATATAAACTGACAGTAGCATTTTTTTTCTTTTTTTTTTTTCTTTTCCCTTTCAAGGTGTTCTTTGCTTCTGTACAGTCAGGAGGCAGCAGTCAAATATACTTTATGACTCTTGGTCAAAATGTACTATTCAACTGGTAAAGCACATCAAAATGAAGAAAATGAAAAATTCCCTATAGGTAGCAGTGTAAAATTCTCAGAGGTAATACACACAAATTTGCACTTCTTACCTACAAAAATGTCATTATTAACTTACCAAAATTCATATTCTTTCAGTCTGGAAAGAATTTCATTTTCCTGTTGAAGTATTGCAGACATGTTTAGTTTGTCTTTCAAAGCATGTTGCAAACAAAGATTGTATTAGGAGACTTCAGTGAAGAATGTAGCCAATATAAGAAGCTCCTGTACTCTGAAGAATGGACAGTTTCACAGGTGATGTAATGTTGGTATCTTGAACCGAAGTCACTTTTTATGGACAACAACAGCTATAATAGGTAGATACAAAAATACAATCTATTTTGAATTGGGTTTGGACTCATTTTGCAGTTTAAGCAAGGTGTTAGTGTGTCACCGAGATGAACTTGAATGACTTGTCCAAGTCTTACAGTAGTGAAAGAGCAACAGCCTGTGGTGGCTTGAGGGATCCTCCCTCCTTGGACCTTGAGGAATCATCCCCTGTGCTGGGTGAACAGGTGTGTTTCATTAGAGTTACAAAAATAGTTAATGCTGAACATGTGCCCCATCTGGGATTTTTACAAATGCAGAGGGGGACAGACTTTATGTTTCTCTCAGGGCTGGATGCCTGAGCCTATAGACACAGTTACTGTAGGATGTATTGTAAAAACAGTTAAATAGTCAAAATCATAGATGCATAAAGCATTATGAAGCAGAACCTCTAAGTTTTATTCACACCTGGGACCCGCACTCATATGAATTGATTTAAAGGCACTACCCATGTATATAAATAAGGGCACAAGAGCAGGCACTTTCTTTTCTTCCTTCTTGCTCTTTCACATAAGTCTTTACGTATGTGTGTAAATATAATCTTTAAACGATGGATGTTAAGATTAACAAATGTATTCTTAATATAGTTATGAAAATATCCAAAGAGTTAATCTATTATAAATAGAAAATATAAATAATTCCAGGTGCTTTCTATGCTAATTACATCTAAATAAAGCTGTGTCTTCTAGCGTTATTGGTGCCAGTGTTTGTGCATAAACTCTGTTCTCAGGGGCTTATAAGTTGGCCATAAAACTATAGAGATATAATATATATATATTATATAATCATATACTATGATTCAGTTGTAGGGTTTAATGTAATCCTTATGTAGCTGATTTTTGGACGTGCTTTGAAAATGTAAAGCATCAAATGTAATACAAAAGAGCTCATTCCAGACATGATACAGTAGGGATAATGCTGTGGGCAAAAGTGAAATCACTAGTTCCAGTGCTTGAAAACAGGTATTTTTACTTGAAATATTTGATACTGAAAGGTGCAGGGAAAGTGTGTTGGAATGTCTGGTTGTCTACCTCAAGGATGATGGTTCTATGTTGACTAAGAGGGCAGAAACAGAGTTGTTGGAACTGGTAGCTGCATTGTCCAGTACGTCAGTTCAGGTGCTGACAGTGATGCTGTGACTGACAGGCGCTCAGAACTGCTGTCCCTGTGTATGTCAGCAGGGAATCAAACTAGGGGCTAATCACCTTTCCCCTTGCTCCCTGTGCTGGCATCTCACTGCTGCAGGCACATCAGAGGTGCCTGCACTGTTGCTGTTACGTTTCTGGCTATATGGAGGACTGCACTTTCCAAAGTTACTAACCTAGCACTTTTCACAAGCACTAGCTTATCTCAAAATGTATAGTTTTTTAATGAAGTATTTTCCTTTTAAATGTTTAACTAACAGAAAAATAAGCCTAAAGCCATACTAAAAAAATGCAGTTAAATACTCAAAGTGGTTCTTAATGTATGTGAGTAATTATCTTGTGTGCAGACTTGAAACCTGAATGGAAACTGCTTGGGCAGAACTGTGTGACAACAGGAGCTCTGTCTGGTTGTAGCAATTTTTCTGCCTGTTGCCAGGGCCTGGCTTGGCTCCCTGTGCTGCTGAACAGTTGGGCTCATTGCATTTGACTCACAGAACAAACAATGGGGTGGGGGGAATAAAAAACAAACAAACAACAAAAACAAACCCCAAAGTCTGTAACAGAACCAGGGATGAACATTACAATTACTAGCAAAAAGCAAGTTGCAGACAATCAACTTATCAGCAACTTACTTGCTTTTGACTTAAAAGTCTAAGAGACTGTAAAGGAAGAGCTTTCATTTTGCACACAGTAGGTGTTGCAAAACTTGCAAAGTTGCTCATGCTGTAAGAAATCAGTGATCCAGGCTGCCCTGTAGTATTTTTAATGTGTGCTTATCTCAGCAGCCTCTGCATTACAGAGGATGCATGTGAATTTTGTCCCTCCCCTGTTGTGGTGTCAACAGGTAGGAGGTAGATATTTTCCTGATGCTAGCAAAGAACAGTGGGAATTTATAATAACAACCCATATCAACAGATTAAAGAAGCAAATGTAATCAGATTTGTTTAAGTTTACTGTAGCAGAAAATCATGACAATAAGTTGACACGCTGTGAAGAAGTTTAACTCCATGCTAAAAGGGAAAAAACCCAAACAACCCCAAGTTCAAGAGAGGGAATATGCACTATTACATTTGGATTGTAATTATTCATTCTGTTTCCCTCTAGTAGCTTTTTCTTCTTTCTAGTTACAATTCAAGGCAGTGAGCTGGATTTTCGTCTTCTATTCACTATAGAAAAACCATTCAAAATCTTCCATATGATATTATGGAAAGCATGAGGCACCTAGAGGTGAATGCTTTTGAAGGATTTAGAAGTAGTATTGCAAATAGCAATAGCAATTGGATGCAACAAAGAGAAACTTGTAGGACTGTCTCTCTATCAAGAGACAGTCAGAATGGCTGCAGATGAGAAAGAGCCCAGAGATGTTGAAAACAACTGAAAAAAGGGTAAGTGACTGAAGAGGAGGGAAAAGCTGAAGAAAATAAACAAGAATAGCCAAAGGGGAGGGAGTGGATGTCTGGCACAGCATATTGCTGTAGGAGGAATACAAAAGATTAAAAGATGTTAGGAAAAGAAAGCAGCTAAAGAAATTGAAAGGTACCTGAAGTGATTGAGGGGAACTGAATGAGGGAGTCTTTTGAATAACTGTTCAGCTCAAAGCAAAAGTACAAAGGCCAGAAGAATCCAGTAACCAAGGTTATCCAGACCTAGTTTTAACTATGCAAAATATGTATCAGATTTGTAATTACATTTTGTGAGGTGTTTTCACTAGCTGTACCCTTTCACTAACTTTTAAAACCAAGGAGTGAACTGCTTAATGTGTTTTTCTAGTGATGTCACTTTGACATGAAAAAATGCTACAGGGGCAGAATGTTAAGGATCCATGTCATTAACCCTTTGGTATATGCAGTCTCCTGCAGGTGGTGCTCATAATGTTGCATTTGCCACACAAGGTTGTGCTAATGCTGCAGCAATGTAGAACTGTGTGTATGTGCCTGCTTTCATTTTAGGCATGGTGAACTCTCTTTTGCAGCCTGAACCTTGGCACATGACTTTAAAACCTGGGAACCATGCAAGTTATGTACTGTACACTATGTATTTTTCTCTAATGTTGAAATTGTACAATTGAAACAGTAATAAAAATACTCTGAAAGTCAAAACTAGTATCACACTTGTAATGATTCTATTATATTGACATCAGCTTTGTAAAAACCATAGAAACCTTTGTTACTGTTTTCCAAATCCAGTCACTGTCATTAGGGAAACATCCATATCTGCCCATCGGGACAAAACAAATATATATCCTTGTATGGATAAAGATGTCCAAGTGACAGTGTGAGAGTTCAGACTGGACAGAGTGCTCCTAAGGGTGACTAAGCCAGTGCTGTGCTGTGTGTGCTGCTAATGAGCTTCACTGAATTTCTGTGTGTCTGCCCTTCTCTTTACACAGTAAAGATGGGATGAGGGCAGTGGAACTACAGAAAAATGACAGCTTGCAGTCACTGATGCTACAAGAACTAGAATTGTTTCTCCAAAGTCCATCATAAAAGCTGGCTTACAAATTCAGTTACACATTTAAACAGCTGTACTTTTAAGTTAAATGAAGTGTAAGCAAACCTGCAGTCTGTAGGAAAGACTTCTATAGATTTTAAAACCTGTGCAGTAAGTCTAAGGTACACACACCAAAAGTGTAAGAAATTTTCCTGCTGATAACCCACCACTTTCTTAAACTGCCTTTCAAAGTGCAGAGAGCTGATTAAAGGGCAAGGGGATGGTCAGCAGGGTAATCACTCAAAATGTTATTTTAGCATTATTTAACTGCTTATGTTATTTTCTAAGAAGATTTAACAAAAGCACCTAGGAAATCATGGTGAAATGCATCAGTAAAACTTTTCTATTTTTGTCTTCAAAACACCTTGTGGTGAACAACTTTTACAGTAAGCTTTATCATCTTGCAGACCAGCTAATTTTTTTTTTTAATCTAGAGCATTACCTTTTATTCTTTTGTGCCTTTCATTTCTCCAACATATTTTAAATGTAATATTTAACAGAATGTAACAACATCCTCCTATTCAGCATAGCTCACTCTTCGCTGTCACTGCTATAAAGGCTAACTATTGTTTTAAGATGTGTTGTATATAAAAACTAAGATATTTGACTTCTGATTGTCTCTGAGAATTTAAGACTGTTGATTGACCAGAGGTGAACACAAGTATCGTTTCACACACTTGGTTGTAGGCATGTAAAAATCATATTGTCTTCAGTAAGCTGCTTACACACCCTGATGAAGCAGGCTCAGCATAAAGCCCTCAGTTGTTGTGATGTGATACAGCCATCTGCTGATGGCTCCTCTCCAGTCAATACTGATTCTCTGAGTGTTTCTCAACCTCCAGTTTCTAATACAATCATATCGGTCCGACTGTTCGGGTATGGAAATCACATCTAGATGTGATTAGATAGAACTTGCAGACATAACCAGTCTTTAAAACATGTTGTTGACACGCTGCCAGCAAGAGATTTGCCCTTGTTCCAGCAGTTTTGAAATTGTTATGTTAGCCGGACCTCTGCAGGTGAGAAAGAAGGCAGCAGGAGTAAGTTCCTAAGAGAAGGAGCTATCACAAACCTGCAGTGCATACAGATTTATACCATATTAACTCTGCTATCAGTCCACATCAGTCCATTACCACTCCACAAAAGCTTCAGCTTCGATGCATAAAACCACAGTGAATCACACTAATAAGATCTGGCAACAAATGCATATGTAACAATAACCTGTGTATAAATAAGTTTCTTCTGCAAATCACATCATGGGCATAGACAAAAGTGGAGATAAGATGGGAGCAGTCCACAGATTTCCTCATTATATCCACAGGTTATTTAATAACTAAAAAAAGTTATTAAAAAAAAGTTCACCATAGTTCTCCAAGTAAAGCTTGTATGTGATGTGAAATCACATCCTGTGCAAGCTCATTGAAAAGGTTTAAAAGTTAATTTTTTTAAACTGTAAATGCCATTTTATCATTTCACACGACTGTTTACTGGGGAAGAAAGACACCATGTGGAAGTTTTACCCAATACTTGGCTTCTACATAATACAAATGACTGATTTGTTTTAAATTTTCTCACTAAGGAAAGCACTGTGACATAAAATACATAATATCATTCCTAGAGAATTCTAAAGGCCAGCAAAAACTTGTGATTTATACCTCTTTGTCTAGTTTTTTCGGTCTGTTTAAAATGGTTTAGGCAACATGTTTTCCGATTTCCTCATGGCAAATGCTCCACAGTCACAAAGGCAGTAGACTCCAACTGTGCTCAAACTGGAAGAGCAGCTCTGGCCCAGCACCTGAGCCAGCTCCGCCTAAGCTGCAGCCGCACTTCTGGATTTCCAGAGACTATCTGGACCAGTGACACTATAAAGACTGGAAGTTGCTGCTCTTCCTAGCCTTTTTTTTACCCCTCTCTCCCGCTGTAGTGGCTCCTCAGAGAAGACGGCAGGGACCGAGGCGCTGGTCGCTGCTCAGGGCCTCTGTCCCACGGACGGAGCGCTGGGGGTCACCTGCGGCCCGAGCCCCGGGGCACCAACACAATGCCACGGCCACAATGCCACAGCCAC